AATAGCTTTTCCAGATAAATTTGCCCATGCCTGTTATAGAAGGCTAGTCTGGGGAGGCCTAATTTAAGAAAAATCCTATGTCTAGAACATACAGATGCTCAGGAGAGGGGCTTGCTGATGTTTCGAAGAACAATGCTGCAATATATTGCTATCTGCTTTGTTCCCAGGATACATTTTGGGCAGATCACAAGCAACCACATGCTGGTGACAGTGATAGAAAATCTGAAGAAAACCACCATCTCCAGAGTCAGTGAGGCCCGGGTGAGTGTTGCACCCTCCTCTTTTCCAGGATCTGGAATAACAGGATGGGCCAATGTCTGGGAATGTGTGTTGTCGGTGGTGTCCAGTAGGAAAGTTAGTTGGGGGTCTGAGCCCATTTCACCTTCCTCCTGTGCAAGCAGTCTGCCTTTTCCTAATGCTCTTCCTGATGTGAGACTACCGAGTGATGAGCCTGCGCTCGTGCTCCCTCCCTCATTTACTCTTGGTTATCTTTGATGTATGTGTTTGGGCTTTGGGTTGCTAGTTTCTAAATATGTAGGAGGTAAAAAACCTATTTCTCTTGGGCTTTTCTGTGGGCTACTAGTCTCTCAAATAATGCAGGCTGTGCATCTTCCTAGAGGCAACTTAAGGTGCCTGCCAGCAACTTGGCTTTCAGAAAATACAGTGGATTATAGCTGCTCTTAAGAAAGAACTGTGGGGAACAGAGTGCAGGACTGACTGTTCTCCTACTCGGATGAAGCTGACGTTTAAATAATGTTGCTTTATTTAAATCTGTGGATTGTCTTGCTTTCATAATTTCTTAGTAGAGGGTGGCCAGTGCAGGACCCTCTGCCCTGTAACAAGCTGAGATGTGTCCAACGGTGTGGTACTGGTCTGTCTCTACAGGATGTGCTGGGATTCAACATGGCAGGGCTCCAGTACCTGAAGAGGGAGATTGAGGCCAAGGATGAGGTGACATTTTTTGCTGATGCTACTGACCGTTTTGAGGAGAAGAAGAGGAAGAGGAAGAAGAAAGAGAAGATGGTTCTTGCAGTGCTCTAGCATTTGCTGCCCAAGACCCAGAGCACCTGGATGGGGTCATTTAACCTCAGTGCTGGCCGTGGAAGTGTTCTTGTGGCTGAACATCTGTGATGATGTCCAGTGACTGGGACAAGGTCTGTCCCCTCCCCATGTGGTAGAACCCAGCATATAATCCCAACTCAGAATGGTTGTCTCTGAGATGAACTCTCTGTGGTCTGCTGCAAATGTATGCATTTGAACTATTTCTGAGGTGACTGTCAAAGGTGCATCCTTTTCCTCCAGTGGAATGCCCATTAGAAATGGAGTTGATTTCTCCTGCGGAAGCGATCAGCTCATTCTGGCAGTGTTGATTCAATGGAGTGAATCCAGCACGTGGACTGCTGGTGAGACCATGCCCTATCTAGGGAAGACAGCTGGCAAGATTTTACGCTGTTTTGACACCTGCTGGTGGTTTGTGGCAGTGCTTAGAGCCTCTGGGCAAAGCTACGTGACTTCTGCCAAAGTGTGAGAACTTGGTCTACAGCCACTCGCTTTTTAGTGGGACAGGGAAGAACATGGCTGCACTCTATTAAAGGCATATTTATATATGCTTTAGGACACAGCTTTGTTCATGGAGTTTTGTCCTGATATTTGTCTAGTAAAGCCTCAGCTGCCTTGCCCTGTGTGTGAGTTCTCAAAGGATTTTTTTCCAGAGAATAAAATCTGTGGGAGCAAATGAAAGGGCTGCCTGCCATGCAGGATTCTGCTGTTCCATGGAGTTGGCAGACTGAGCATGAGAAGTGTGGGTTGTTTGCATTGTATTTGCTCCAGTTTTTAGAAATTGCACTGAATTATTGCAATGTTGTACTTGTCCTGTATCAGATAAAATGATTTATTTTCACAGCGGGCGCAGTGGGGCAGGATAAAGTGAGCAAGTCTCTGCTGCTGTTGGTAAGTTATTAGTTTGTAGTACATGCTGTCTTTTTTTACTAGTAATCACAGGTTTGGTGGATGTGGTGGGGGCTGCTTCTGGGTTCTTTTTTGACTGTTGGACTTACAGGTCTGACTCTGGTACTCCAAGCTGGACTTCTTTCTACCTTGAGCTTCATATGGATTTTTAATTGCATCCCAGTTGTTACCGACTACTGTCTTTGACTTAGGTTCTCTATTACTAGCAATTATGCACAAGGCAAACAGTTCAGTTGGTGAATCTTTTGGCAGCACCTTAAGTGTAATAACCACACCTCTTAGAATAACTGTTGTTAGTAAATAACTGTGTCAGGGGGCTGATGGTTCACTTGCTTCTTCAGAGTCTGGGTAATTTACAGCAGCACTTCACGCTCCAATTCCAGGAGATGGGTCTTAGACTCTTTATGGAAATAGCAATCTTCATACAGCTCTGCAAGTTGTTTCTGGGTGCCTCTATAATTTTGTATTCGTCCAGATATGGATGAAACTTGTGATCAAACAGCTCCACTCAAACATGTCTCCATCCCGGCCTATTCTGTTCTAATTCTGTTCTGTTCCATCTTGTTCTGTTGTATTCCCTTACTCCTCCCAAAGGAGACCCTCGTAAGAGGGATTACTGCAGGGGGAGGCAGAGGCGGCACTGTAGGATGATGAATTGTATTGGTAACCTCAGCTGACGTCTTGCATCCATGTCAGCTGCTGCTGAAATGGGCTAGCCCGCTGGGAAAAGAAAGTACGTAGCGTGTTACAAACGAAGGGGTGGCTTGTGATACCACAGTGCACCTTCAGCAGTGATGACTAAGAGAGATACCAAAAGGGGAAGGCTAACTCTATGGCTCTGTGTGATGTGCTTTGTTTACCTTAATGCCGGGGAGGTAAGTGTTATGGAACCTACATAATGAGCTGCTGTTTGATGATCCTCTGGGAAGCCTGGGAGAAAAACCACAGCCACAGGTGCACATAAACTCAGGGACTGATGGCAAGGGTGTAGGTGGTGGTATAGAAGAGTGACTTGGGATGCAGGGTCATCTCACGATGATGACAGGTGTCTCTGATCTAAGTTGGAAGAGGTGGAATTCCTTCACCATTGTCTCTGTTTGCTGTCACTGGGGTTTGGGAAGAATCCTTGGAAGAAAAGGTCTCTGAGGTGGTGCAAAGTGGTTGTCCTCTCTTCATAGGTGTTGACACAGGCCTCCCCACTGAGCTTTCCCTCTGGTTCTCTGATTTGTGTCACTTGTGACCAGTCAGTACCGGCAGCTGTGGTTTGTGTCAGTGCCCAGAATGGACTCCCAAGGGGACTGATGTAGGACTGTTGGCTGTTTCTGCAGAAAACCGAAAAGCATCGGGGCAGAAATCAGCAAAACCATTGGTGTTGGAGAATCCTGGATCAAGTTTGACACCGCTTCTTGTGGTGTTTTCTCATCTGTGGGTAGGGCTTAAACAATGTCCACAGCTGGGTATCTGTTTTGGCACTTTCCTGAGCTGGCTTTCAGCTGATGGACAAATAGTCATGTCTGGTGGGGCAGTGGAAAACACCAAAGCAGTACTTGGACGGCTACTGAGGGAGCTCAGCATGCGCTTTAAATGGAGGAGGTCTGTCCTGTGCCAGCAATCTACTGATACACTAGAATTGTGATATCTGTGGGTACCTCAACTTGCCCTTTCTTAGGTGAAATTCCCTGGATTTACAAACCTGAGGAGGAAAGCACTTGAAAATACAGGGCCCACTTAAAATGTATACCGTTAGAATATGTGTCTCACTTAATGTGGATGGGAGAGTCCAAAACTGGCATTCATGTTTTACACTGGTAAAAACTGTGATTTAATCCCCAGTCATGGGATTCTCAGTCACTGTGAAGTGTTGAGAGAACAAGTCATCTGCATGTATCAAGGAAAATTCCCCATCTCTCAAGGTGTCACATGCTGGAAAAAGGATGAAGCATACAGGAAAGCACCTGGTTGGAAATGAATCCATAAAAAGAAAGCAGAACTGCACTTGGATATACAAATATGGTGTCTCACAAACAGGCTGAGGTGTATATTTTAGTCATTACTGCATAAGTAGGAACAAAGGGGGGAAAAAGGGTCATCTCTAAGTGACTCAGTCTTCCACTCTGAAGACAGATGTGCAGATCTGCATTTAAAGATGATCATGTCTGATGGGGAACAAGACGGTATAAACAAAATCCCTCTGTGAAGTGTAACTTTGTGTACTCATAATCCCCATCTGGTGTCTGCAGCTAATTAAAGGTAGGTGAACACACAGAAAGTTAAGCCTATGATTGTGAAAGCAAACAGAAACTTAGGAATTAGGAGACCAGAGCAGATCAGCAGCTGTTTCCTGAAGAATCGCAGTTGACTTCAGTGAAACCTGCTGCATGCTCAGTACTTAAAAAAAGATTTCAGGTGCCTCAGCACAGGTTATAGAAACCTAACCCCTTTTAAAAAACAAACCTATCAGGAACCATTCAGCACTCTTCTGAAGTGCAGAATATCAAACATTGGGTTTGAAATAATACAGTAATCTTTCCACTGCTTGCATTTCAGACAGACACATAAGAAGACAGTGCAACTTTTGGACCACCTTTTCCATTAATAAGGGACAGACAAAATATTTATTCACATTAATCTGATTAAATAAATGAAAAAGTACATCAGGATGTTTCCATAATGCTGGACTACAATTTGGGTATTTCAGTACTGCGGATCTTAATGTTGTTCTTCTAGGGCTCTGACCTGTAGTGAAAGAGGAGAGAAAATTAACATGAAAGGAAATTAAAAAACGAAACCCCAACTCTTATCTTTGTCCAGTTTTTGAAGCAAACCCAGTAATTGCATCCAGATTCTTTGCAAGTGTTGTGCGAGCACTGTGATTGCTGTGGACTGGCTTCAGTAGAACTGGCCTCTACACTTGCTGTTGGAAGGGAACAACATGAGAAAGGGTTCTCGCGTGGGCTTCAAATAGATTAAGAGTTTGCTTTTATTTCACAAACTGACATGACCATGAGTTCAGGATGGGCAGTCTACTTAGGAATACTGAAGGCTTTCATGAGCAGCTTCCTATGCAGCATTTAATTTTGAGTATATTAAGAGAGTCTTTTAAAAATTTCACAAATATAAATGAGAAATAACTAAGAAAATATAAACGAAATATGACTAGTTTGGTCAGGTGATGCTTCATCAGTGATTTCTGCTTTTTGGTCTCTATTAGGAGGTGTGGCAAGTTTGTGATCAAGTCTAATATTGCAGGGAAGTTTCTAGGTCTCAGTGGAGAGAATCATTGGCTCTGGTGATAAGCACCTGGGAAAGGTGATATGAACTTAAAAATTGTCACACTGCCTCTGCAGAGACTTAACTAGTTGTTTCTGTTCTGGATGGTTGAACAAGACTGTTTAACCAAATACAGGACTTAACCTAGGCGTTTCATGTTTTGTAAGACTAAACCAACCAGTCCAGAGTTCCTTGACATGTTTGAGCTGGATATGCTTTTGAGTCCAGGAGATTTTGTGGGAAGGATTGTTTGAAGACGCATTTGGTACAGTTGCTTGGCTAGGATGGGGTAGCTGTAGTCAGCTTCAGTAGGAATTCTCAATTAATTCACAAAAAGACTTTGTCAGAACAGAAGGGAGATTTGGCTATGGTGATGGCAACTGCGATTAGCTGGATTAGCCACGTGGGAGTACCATGTAGTTAATTTCTCTCCACTTGGAGCTTTTAATGGGAGATGACACTGATGGGAATTTCTGTTGGGACAGGGGGGTGTCTCACTGAAATGTGAACTGACTGGGTCCATTTCAACACAAAGTGAGAGAAGTTTGTCTAAATTGCCTTCACTGATGAGCTCCAGGTTGTAAGCCCCTAAGCTGGAAGGCATTAGATTTGCTGTTCTTCTAGACTATAATTGCATGTTACTCTGGGAGTAAAAAACTGGAAAAGGAAAAAGCTATGTTTGATGTACTGTGGGCAGTCCTAGAGCAGATGCAGCAGTCAGAGGTGCATGTTTCTCTGCAAAGTTTCCTTTGAGAACTGACTGATGTGGTCACTTTTCTTTTTCTCCAGAGGAGAGGAAATGAGATACAGCTGGGATTTCTTTACTGACTTGTTAGATAACATGGCAGACTTACAGATGTTAAAGTTGAAAGAAAAAGATGATGTCAGTGCTACACATATGAGGCAAATGGGGACTCCTGAGCTGAGGAGAGAAGAAACATCCATAGGGTTCCTGTTTATGAACTGTCACCATTGACTGTATTGTGGAGCACCTGAGCTGATATGGGTGAGATGAAACATCAGCCTAATGTTAAACATGTTGGCTGGTGGTTTGAGGAGAAATTCCCTGTAAGGCTTTCTTGTTTGCAGGGAGGACTTACCCATTCTCTGTATAGTCTGATTCTCTAAGGTTACAGAAATGTGCTGTATGAAACAATGTGTGCAGAGGGTTGTGTGAGCTGGAACTTATGTTAAAGTTGCTTGCCCTGTCTATCGCTAAGACTCCTGTCCCTTATTAGACTTGCTGTCAGTGTCAAAGGGTCAGCAGTAAGACTTGGGTTTTAGAAAGTGAAGAGTGTTAAAGAGAGGGTGATTTATTAGGGCTTAACTGCAATAAATCCAGCCTCCTGCTGCCAGGAGGCTCAATGACTTATTTAATGTGAGGACAGTTAAGTGAAGGATTTGGGACAGGACAGGGGAGGCTCTGCTGTGAGTGCCTCCACTGAGCTGAGCAGTTGTAGTAACCCGTAGATCTCTTGCAGCGAGTCCTTTGGTTAGTGTCATCCAGTGCTTCCCTTTTCTTGTCTCAGGTTATCATGTCTGTGTGATGTGTGCATGAGTTGACGTGGATCAGAAGCCAAGAGGAGGTAAAACAACTGTACTTTAATTTACGGCTGGTATCACTGCATCCAATACTTACATTAACTAGAAAGCTTTCGGGGTAGTGTAATCCGGAACCGTGGCTTGGGGCTTGCGGGAACTGCCCGGACTGTTGCTGCCATCCCACCCTGGGGGTATCCTTGTGGGCGGCATTCATAAATGTCATTGGTTAACACAGGTGGAATATCATGTTAAGGACCTAACCATTTCTGTACATTTATGCAATTAAAATAATACGTGTGGAGGCTGGAATGAGTTCTGGAAATAAGGCTGCGATACAACTTGAATCTGGACTACTGCCCTCAGCTCAAAGACTAAAGACCAGGTAAAATTCTGGGGAAGGGCACAAGTTTTGGAGGCCGGTCTGCAACTGCGTGTCTGAGGACTGGGTGAGTTGGGAACAGAGCAGGAGCTGGTTTTGCTGCTATGCCACCAGTCCTGTCCAGCTCCGCTCTGCAATAATGGGCATGAAAGACTGCTTTGGGTCACTATGAAGTAAATTTGGGGAGTTTCAGTGTCACTTCCAGAGCATGTAAAGCTTCAATAGAGTTGCTGTTGGCTAGTACTCTGGTCAGTCTCAGAGGACCCTAAAGTTCTTTCTCTGGTAAGCATGGCCCTTACCAGGAGTGGAGTTTCTGGCATGTTTGGATGCACCTTGCCTTGCTATTTCTTTTATAGGTTTCCAGAAGACCTATTCTCCCAGGCTTTTAAGTGTAAATTTGATTAAAATTTAGTCAAACAGAACTTCACCCTTTCTTCTGAACTTGCCCTTAAAAATGAGTCTGTAATTTTACCTAAAAAATAATTAATAGTTTCTGGAGCACAAGGGAAAGAGAAATAATAGTTCTTGACTTGGCTGTTTTCTTTTACTCTACCTCTGTCCTCAATTAAACAACTGAAAAGCCCACTGAACCCACACTGGGCTGATTTCTGACAGCATTCATGCACTTCTGTGCTGGCGTCTCTGCTGACAGAGGCATTGTCTCATTTGTCTGTTTGGTATCCAGGATGATACTTGATTTTGTTGCTCATGAGGCTGTACCATCAGATGCTTCCATAGGTTCAAAAATGTTATTAAGGATTTCCATTGGGGGTTGTGGGAAAGAGTTCCTATTATTTTCATTTATTTTTTAAAAGCCACATCTTTCTGAGCTTACCCTTCTTCCTTTCCCCACTTTTCAGAAACCTTATTACTCTGATGTCAATTGCTTTTGGTGTCAGAATCTTAAATTGTTTACTTGTTGTGCTTTTGAAAACACCCATTTGTGTGTTTCTGAAAAGGACAGTAAAGCTTGCTACCTCAGCAGCCTGCACTGGAAACAATGGTTAAGGCTCCTGGTCCCCAGAGTTGATGTTAGAAGGTGTGTGTGGGAAATGGGACAACAAAGGATATTTGCTCTCACAGGCAGGAGAAGAGTCTCTGTTTCTGTTAATATTTCAATATCATGGGAAACTTCTTCAAGGCCACCAGCATCTTCCCCTCCAGTTACCATGGCAAAAATCTCTATCTCCAGTTCAACCTGCAAGCCTGCTGCCACCTAGGAGAGACAGGGGATTACTCACAGGTAAGATGCATGTCTCATCCATAGTCCCCTCCAGCAGTCCTTGGAGCTGGTTCATGTTCTGTGTTGCCTGATGAAATTAAAGACCTAGTGCCCCAGCACTTATGATTGTGCTTGCCAGTTAGTTACCCAGTATCTGTTCCAATAGAAGGTCTGTACAAAACAGTGTCTATTCACATTGTAGTTTGAAGAAAACTGCCAGGTGTTTGCATTTTTTCCCCTTAAATTTCCTTTTAGGTTCCAGTGGGAAAAGGGGAATTGGGACAGCTGGGAGAGCCTGCCGGTGTTTAAGAGGCATTTGGACAATGGCCTTAATACCATGCTTTAACTTCTGGTCAGCCCTGAAATGGTCGGGCAGTTGGATGAGATGATCGTTGTAGGTCCCTTGCAACTGAAATATAATATTCTATTCTATTTTAAAAAGGACATAGAGGTAGGGAGAAAAGGGAGATACAAAAGGGGTGGGTGTGGGGGAGAGGAAGAGAGAATGGAAATTATTCCAGCCATCTATCTGTACTTCTGTAAGGCTTTTGACATGGTCCCCCTTCTCGCTAAATTGGAAAGAGATGGATTTGATGGGTGAACTGTTCGGTGGATGAGGAATTGGTTGGATGGTTGCATCTACAGGGTAGTGGTCAACGGCTCAATGTCCAGATGGAGATCGGTGGCAAGTGGTGTCCCTCAGGGGTCCATGTTGTTTAATATCTTCATTAATGACATAGTGGGATCGAGTGCACACTCAGCAAGTTTGCAGATAACACCAACCTGAGTGGTGTGGTTGACATGGCTGAGGGACGGGATGCCATCCAAAGGGACCTGGACAAGCTCCAGGAGTGGTCCCATGTGAACCTCATGAGGTTCAACAAGGCCAAGTCCAAGGTCCTGCACCTCGGTCGGGGCAACCCCCTGTATCAATACAGGCTGGGGGTTGAAGGGATTGGGAGGAGCCCTGCCGAGAAGGACTTGGGGTACTGGTGGATGAAAAGCTGGACATGGAGCTGGCAATGTGGGCTTGCAGCCAACATAGCCAACCGTACCCTGGGCTGCATCAAAAGCAGGGTGGCCAGCAGGTCAAGGGAGGTGACTCTGCCCCTCTACTCCACTCTGGTGAGACCCCACCTGCAGTTCTGCGTCCAGCTCTGGGGTCCTCAGCACAGGAAAGACATGGACCTGTTGGAGCAGGTCCAGAGGAGGCCACAAAAACGGTCAGAGGGATGGAACAGCTCTCCTGTGAGGACAGGCTGAGAGAGTTGGGGTTCTTCAGCTTGGAGAAGAGAAGGCTCCAGGGAGACCTTATTGCGGCCTTTTAGTACTTAAAGGGGGCTTATAAGAAAGACGGGGACAAACATTTTAGTAGGGCTTGCTGCGATAGGACAAGGGGTAATGGTTTTAAACTAAAAGAGGGTAGATTTAAACTAGATGTAAGGAAGAAATGTTTTATAATGAGGGTGGCGAAACACTGGCACAGGTTGCCCAGAGAGGCTGTGGATGCCCCATCCCTGGAAACATTCAAGGTCAGGTTGGACGGGGCTCTGAGCAACCTGATCAAGTTGAAGATGTCCCTGCTCATTGCAGGGGGTTGGACTAGATGATCTTTGGAGGTCCCTTCCAACCCAAACCATTCTATGATTTTAAGTACTGAGTTGTGGCTAGGGCTCTGGACTAGGAGGCTTAATTTGCATTCTGGCACTGCTTTCTTGCACAAGTCGTTGCTGCTTGATTCCATGCCTGTAAAAGCATTGGCAAGGATACTGCCTCATATTACCTGGATGCTGTGGGGATACTGGGGGGCACAATATTTATCCAGATATGTAGGTGAACACGCAGCTGAAGAGAGAGACTGAACAAAAGCAGAAAGCATGAAAACTTCCTATTTAATGGGACAATATCACACACTATGGTGCTTTGCTAGATAAAAGACTTAAGGTGGAGAACAGTTGCAAGCAGGAGAATAAATGGTTGAGGCAAGGGTTTAGTAGGTTCAGGTCTTGAAGGTATCAGGACAGGAGATAAAGTCTAGGCGTAAGACAGAGCAGATAAATAGCCTAAACGATGGGAAAACTCAGAGGTAGTAGTAGAGTATCCTGTTTGCTTAAACCCCCCCCCTTCTTTAACCTCAGTGTTTGACTTGCTGCTTTCCACTGAACTTAACATGTTTATCCCTCTGCATTCTGGCGCAGGCTCTGAGACTTGGAGCGCACGGTTGGTTGAAGGCAGCAGAGGGACAGCTGAAGGCAGTGTCACTTCAAATAACTTTAAACTAATCATGTACCCTGCCAGCTCTATTCCCAGACAGCTGGTGCAAGATGACCCATAGATGGCCCGAGGGCCAGCTGAGTCTAGCAAAAACCAAAAGATCTTCTGTGTAACTTACAGGTCCTGGTGTGTACATCACTCTCAGTCCTGTGTGCAGAGGTGGTTGCTTTACCCGAAACCTGTTAGAAGAGAATCGATAGCTAGAACCTGTTTCAGGCAGATGTGCAGCATCCAGCAGCATTTCCCAAAGCCAAATGTAATACTGGTTACCATGAAAGACTTTGGTCCCTGAACCTGAGAACTTCAGTAAGAACCAGTAAAACAACTGCGATGGGCCAGGACTATGCATACAGGACCTGCTGTTCCTTACTGCTTTTCCTCATAACACTAATATGCAAATAATGTTGAAGTATTTCTAATATCTCTTCACCTCTATTTAGTCAGTCATTATCAAATGATTCCAAATATAAAAATACCATTTGTTATCTCCTGTTAATCAGATCAAAAGGTTGACAATTAACAAGCGATGCGTATTTGGACAGTTAAACCCCAAGGTACTGAAAATTCAAACTAACCTTGAGAAGTTCACACCAACATTCTTCAGGATCACAGTGGCTGCATAGGTGCAGCCTTCCTTTAGCACTCCAAGTATCACTCTGGGTGGAATGAGATGGAAGCCACTAAGATGCTGTCTTGTTGTTGCAAGAGAAGATGTGTTGACGTTTCCTGCAACAGGATCTTCCACCTTTGCAAACAGAGTTAAAATATTAGACAATAGAGAAAGTTGGTGGCCATCAAGTTAGGTTCAGGGTTACTTAACCTACATTTGACCTCTGTCCACTCATTCTGAAGAATTACAAAAAGACAGCCTAATCTGAGTAAAAACTGAAGAAGCACTTTGAATACTGTCTGCAAATCTATATTGGTTTGAGTTTTCAGACACATTAGCCATTGAGATGTCTCAGGGGGAAGGGGGAAAGCTCTGCTCCTTTGAAAATGAGAGCTTTCGTGTAGGTGCGTGGTACAGAACTATGCTTTTGGTACACAAGTTTGTCCTAGTGGTTGAGAAGAAAGGTACTTTTATAAGTGCCAGTAAACTTTTGCATAAATTGGAACTGCTGTGTTTCAGTGAACAGATTCAAAATACATTCCAGTGTTGCTCCAGAGTGAAGATTTTATGCAAAAGAGATGACTGAGAGGATATTAACAGAAAAGATGTTATTTTACCTTTTTATTTGGTATGGAGTTTGGTTTTCTCCCCTGAAGGGATGATGGTAATTTCACCTTCTCTTTTCTTGGCTGTCCTGCAGCATTCACCAGCAGACTCTGAACTTTACGTTGAAAGGGTGTCTCCTGTGATCTTGCAGCCTTGTTTAGGTCTGGAAGGGAAAGATCTCCAAAAGCACAAAAAACTAAGCATCATATTCAGCCTAATCCTGAAGTTCTTGTTCAGGTAAGATTTTTATTTTCTATGAAAGCATTTGCTTAGCACAAGGACAGAGAATTAGTCTCATTTTTATTTAAGAGGTGAAGAAAGGCATTAAGAAACCCCCTAATAGTAGCAAGTAATTAAAATTTGACTAATAAGTAAAGTTGTACTGTAATTATTAGAACTACTTAGTTGGAAACATCTCAGTGGACACATGCAATGAAGATATAAATATTGGTGAAAGTGATTAAAAACAAAAGGAGGTACAAAACCTCAAGCACTAAAATCAAAATTGAGGACATTACTATTCCAAAGGCATGACTACACATGCAGAAACACCCAGGCTGGTCAGGTAAAATCTGTATGTCTGTATAACAACACATTCCCGTCCAGGCCTCAAAGCAGTACGCCCAACTAGGAAGCCCTGTCTCTGAGCAGGATTTATTGTCTTGAATGCAAAAAAACCATTGTTTTTTCTCAGTTTGGACTGCAGGCACTGTCTAGCTGGATGCTAAGTCTGGTCAGTTAGTCATTGTAAGGAGGCAGAAATGTTATTTGAGAATAGCATCTTCTCTAGATGCCCCTCTTATTTCCAGACAACAGAACTGCAGGTGATGGAGAGGGGCTTTCCACCTGCACAGCAAATGGCCCAGAGCTTATAAAAAAAAGCTAAGCACGGACACGAGGGAAAACACACTAGCATTTCTTGTTTTGCCAAAAGGTAAGCAACATTTATGCTTTGACATTAGAAGTTAGCGTAGTTTTGGTGTCTCTCTCCCCACACACACTCTCCCCCTCCAAGCAGACTGGTGGCTCTCCAGTGGTGATCGTCCAAGGCTGTTGCCACAAGCAGATGCATAAACAGAGTGACTGTACACGTAGCAAGGAAAGCAAAACTGAATGGCGATGTTTAAATGGCAAAGATCATTTAACCACTGCAAATTCTGTTCTAGAGTCTTCTGTTACAGGCCTTAATGAGCAGAAAAAATTGGCTTGTGCAACTTTAAGTAGAGAAATCGCTTCTTGGCTTTGTCTGCACTTCTACCATCCCCATCGCCCCCGTGTTGTTATAGCAGTCTCCTAGGGTGAAGGAGGGAATCTCTTCCATTAGTTTTATACCTCAATTTCTGCCAGTCTTGTGTTTCAGATGTATTCAGAATGCTGAACAGAGATAGGTGGATTTAAATTTGTATTGTAAATATTTTGTCAAAAGTTATAAGAAGATAGATATTAACTTACTCCAAACTACATTCTGGAAGGCAGCTTTACCTGTTGTGCTCCTGGAACCTTCATTTTGTTTGGAATGAGCCTGCAGCAGAAGACCAGGTAAAGGTGAGGAATCACTTATGGTATCGAGACATTCAGATGCTACAGGGAAAATAATGGAATACTGTGACAAGTGTTTTTCATCATCATTTTCATAAACACAAGAAAAAAAATGACAAAGTCTTTGGTACTTTAATTTAGACAATCTTTGAAAGCTGTCTACAGAACCATGAGAGGCTGGGTAAATTCTGCATGGGACATTTTGCTCCACTGGGCAACAGGGATCAAAAATGCATATTTTGGGATTAGTCATTTCTTGTTCTCTGGATAACTGAGCAATAAGCCATAAAGGGCTAATGGAGAATCCAAGACAAGTCTTCTGGTGATTGCTATATGGTGATTGCAAAATGAGGAAATGTGGGAATTAGTGGGGGTCTGATAAAGCCCCATGGAGGACTGCTGTCCTGATATGATTCTTTGTGTATGACTTTTAATCTCACTATGTTATTTCAGTAACTTGTCAGGGCTGCTTTTCAAACAGAACGGAAGTATTCCTCTCAATGCTGTAAAGCTCAGACCTAAGATGATGGTTCACTCTTTCACTGCTTCCTGTCATCCAGTCACTGCTTTCCTCCCATATCCTCCAAACTACCCTTAGCCTGCACGTTTCCTATTCCATATCGCTTTTGCCCCAGTCCCCAAGTCGCCCCTCTTACCATTGAGTTTCAGAATTCCATCTCCCATTTTTTTTTTCCTACAGTCATACTTGCCTTTTTCTAAACTTAGCCTCCTCGGTTTTTGCTCATCCACCCCTAACTACTGTTTATTCCATTTAAGTTTTTCTCAAGCATTTTGCATCCATCCACCCCTCATTCATAGCACAACTCTTCAGCTTTGCATCCAAAGCCTATGGTGCTTCCGCATACGGTGATGTCTGCAAAGGCTCCTTTAACACACTAAATATAGGAGTCTCATAGACCACATTTATATTAGTGGATTAAAAAGGAACATTCCCAGATACTGGAGCATGCTAATCTATGCTGTTAACTTGTTAAAACACTGGTATGATATTGACTGTGCAACTTAGCAGTCTCCCCAAAACCATTCTCAGGTACACAAGTTTTGGCCAGGGAAAAGACCATCTTGTTTTGGGAGACTGAATTTACACAGTCTACTCCATACTGCTGGATCTCAATGTCAGGGAATGCTGCTGGGTATGTTTCATATATCAGAATAGATATAGCCATTGTGGTCCAGGTAGTTCATGTGCCAAAATGACTGGGAATACATGGGGTCAGATAATGTAATCTTAAATTTAACTGAAATAGGGAATGAGACAACTGGATAAAACAATGAAGAAGATACTAAAATATTGCCAGACAGTAGATTACCTCTACTGGGTTTTCTGATCATCTCAAGAGGGAAATTCCCACTTTCTTTTTTTCGAACTGGAGGAAGTTCCATAGACAGTGCTTCCACATCAGGAAACTAAGAGAAAAGTAAGAAAGAGAGTTTAGGTCTCCTGACTAAACACTTAGAAAAACAAGCCAGCAGACACCCCCCTCCCCCCTGGAAAAAAAAAAAAAAAAAAAAAAAAGGTGGGTGTGTGTGTGCAAAGGCAACAAATAAGCAGAACCAAAGTGGTAACTATAAAAAATACAGACATTAAGTATACCTCAGATTCCAAAGTACATTTCTGAGTACACTTTAAGCACTTAGAGCATTTATCAGGTGAGATTACAACAGGAAAGTTCCCAAGGCCACCTTTAACCCAGGAGGCTTAGTCTTACCAATTCCCCTTCTAGTTAGCAGAGAGAGGTTTTTGAGAGGTAAATTAAAAGACCTGAGGTTCAGCTTCTGCTCCGATTCAGACTCTCTCCAGAGTAAGGAACCTACAGAGTTTGTACTCAATAAACATATACCATCTCCAAGATATGTTTCCTTTGACAAGAGCATATAATTCCCAGTATTAATTCTGCCACGACTGTCCTCGGTAATGGTTTCTTGAGATAAATTGAGGCTGAGAAGTAAATCCAGAACTGTCTTTGTGGGACTACAACAGAAACTACTTGGCCTAACACAAACTCATCCAGTTTTCAGCGACATACCTTTTTTGGGAAAAACTTGCCGAATTCTGATTCAAAATACGGAGGAATTATTTTGTTTCTTATTGCCGTTAAGGACTTCTTTTCTTCATCAAGTTCCTTCCTAAGTAAGTTTTAACATTGTTGGTAAGGAAAAGAAAGGAAAAAGCATTATAACCGAGTTCACCCTGTTTTTCAGCATTATGTTTAAAACATTGAGGAATGGAAATGATAAAGGGAAGTGGCGGGTTTTTTTTTTCCCCCTGGTTAGTCACATTCAGTGATATCCTTGTAATTGGAAATTTTCTCGGTGATAGATCAAGAACAGGCTGGTCTGTTTCACTGACTTGCAGGGTCTAATATCAGCTATGAAATTATCACTCTTAATCATATTAAGAGTTTTGACACCGGCTTTAGAGCCAGAATTGCACATGATGTTCTTGGGTGCTGGCTACTTAGATATATACGTTTAAAGTCATTCTTTAAATAGTATGCAAAACAGTGTAAAATGCTGTATTAAAATATAAATCTGAAATTATAAAAGTATTTTTAATCTTATGCAAGTCAGAAAGTAATTACGAAGTAGTATGGAAGAGAGCTTAGTTTGCAATCGCTATTTAACCTTTCACAAAAATACAAAAGAAAAAGCAATCTTAACTGAAAGCATCATTATTTGAAAATATTAATATAAACTATTTTCCACATTGGTGACAGAACCAGAAAACAGAACACAGGGCTTCTGATTTCAGCCTTGTTTTGAATAGCGTAAGTTAACAGTAACACTCCTAGGTTTTGGAAAAAATGAGACACTCAAACCATCCATTCAGCATTTCTTTTGCAGAGAACACCCCATTATTTGCTAGCAAACCATTGGACCATTACCCAAGACCTGGTGAAATCAATAACAGACTTAAGCAGACTTAATTTGGCTCAAAATATCTAACTTTCTGTCCTACCAATACTATTACCTGTGCTCTTCTAGTCTGCTCTGCCACTTGGACACTGGTGTTACTCCTTCTGGGCTGAATGATCAGGAAAGAAGAGAGAGTAGTGAAAATGAGAAAACTAGCATTATGTTCTATAAGCACAAAAATATTTACAACATAACCCTGGAAAGAAAATGCTTTTTATGAGAGTATGTTATGTTAACATCTCGGGTGACTCCTGACTTGGACTTGTATGGTTTGCACAAAATTGTTCACTCATATCTGCATTTTTATTATACTATTCAATCAAAGAAACCCTCAACATCCTTTTCCAACAAACTTTAAAGTGTCTTTCAGATAAGGAAAGAGAACCACAGAGGGACAAAATAATTGTAGGAAAAAAAAATAATAGGAAAAATCATAGGAAAAACGTGTTATGTATGTAGAGATCTAGGTCGCAGTCCTTAATGACAGTCAGTAAAGTACATTGCCTTGCCTGTGTGCTTGGTTCCATCCTTTGTGTTATTTACATTTGCATCAGTTCTCACTGGTCTGTCCTACCTGAACCTCTGCTGTTGGTCCTCTCTTTGCATAGTGATCGTCTTCTCTGTGTGACACTGGCGATGAGAAGCCACTGCCTGTTCATACAGATCAGTTATGTGAGCTGCAAGGTGAAAGAGTATTATTGAATGTGCATGTTCTGCTAAGCATTGCTAAGTGTTAAGAATAAAAAAACGTAAAAGAATATATTTTTAATGCATCTTTGTGTCACTTGATGAAAACCTAACAGATTCTTTATTACTGTGAGGGAAGAGACAGAAACAACTTCATTCCAAAATCAAGTTCAGAACATTAACAGATAGGAAATCAATTCAATGTAGAAAGCACCAGAAGCGGATTAAGTTCATACCCCACCTGTATTTCCTGAAACATCTTTATGTTCTTTCAAGATACAAATCAAATACCTGTGAATAGGAAAAGTTACTGACATTCAGCCACTTTCTGACTGGGGAGCAACATTCCAAGTCTCTATCTCCAGCTGAAGAAAATAGCATGGGCTTTCAGGGACCTTTTTTAGTTTCAGCTTACTTAAGTTGTGCTTAATTGTGGCTGTGAAGCAGCCATAATCAACATTCTCATGGAAGGAACTAGAAGTTCAATATATATAATGGAGAAAAGCCAGTCTTTCCATATTTAAGATTGTGACCAGCTCTGGGGCTTTAATACAGAGCTTCCCCGTCTTCTGACATCTTTTATAACATGTTTTGTTTAGTTCATGCCTTGAACCTAAACTGGGAGTCCAAAGAAATTTCCTTGGTTGAAAACAAATCTCTGTGGCAGAACTTAGGAGATTTGAGCATTTGAGAGATATGATCCTAATTGACTATGACAGTATTTTTTAGTGTTTCAGGAATTATGTAATTGCAACCTTCAGCACTTGGGTTTTTTTTGGTCAGCTTTTTCACCATAAAATATACTTCTATTTTTCTGCTTTTTCTATTTTTATCTCTTTTAAAGAGCTTTTCTTTCCCACTATCTTCTTCATTATTAATGTTAAAATTGCACTTCCATTTAAATCGGTAAACTGTGTAGCAAGCATTTGTTGCAGCAGTTTCCATTTACTTTGCACGGTATGCTTTTTCTTTTAACAAGCAGAAATACCCTTGACAAGGCAGAAAGGGCAGTAAAATAACACTTTAAAGGCTAGCATCACTATGGGATTGAAGACTATGGATTTTTCTATGGAAAAGGCTTACTGATTTTTAAAATAAACATCTTAATTTTTATTTGCACATATTGAAAACAAATAAATGTTGACAAGTATCTTATGAAAACTTTAACAGAAATTCACGAGGGAAAGCTAATACATTGTTCCATTGTTTCCCTTAAGCAAGGTTAATGTAACCAAAACACCTGATGGTTTGAGATCAGATTTTCCAGTGTAATAAATAACCAGGATTTATCTAGTTGCTTTGAAAAACTTGTTTGAAAAGTTGATACTTGTATAAAAGTAACCAAGTACTGTCATAGTTCTTATACCTAAAAAAACTCAATACATGTGGAAACACGAGTCAAAACGCCAAATACACATGCCTAAACACAGGAATTGTTTTTTAGAGGTACTGAATCATTGATGCCAACAAGTTCTAATCACTTGTGAAAATCACACAGAAGCATGTACATAGCACATCAATGAATTCACTTTTATGTTTCTTCTTTAAAAATAATACTACAATACTTTAAAACTTTATTATTTTACAATTTTAAAAGATAGATATTCAATTTTTATTACCTGTATCACTGAGATTTTCAGTTGACTTCTCCCAGTTAGGGAAGGACTGCAATGAAGAAGGAATAACTGTGACTCTGAGAAACAGACCTCACAACAGCAGCATCCTGTTCCAAGGATTCCCATCCTAAATAAGTGTCACCTTCTTACTTGAGAATGTGACTACAAGAATGGAGGTATTTCAGTGTGTTAGAAAACATGAGCTGGGAAAAAAGGAAAAGAAGTACAATTTCCCTGGTCTAAACAGGTATTTGTTTCCTTCTTGATGACCTACTTCACAGATGGCTTTGTATTTTATATGGTTGCTGTTTATTAAATCAACTAAGCCAATTCATAATCAAACTCATATCCTTCTGCAAAGGTTTTGAACCAGATCTAAAACTCGTGGTCACAACGAACTCAAATGGGAAACGTGTTCTGGAATTTGTAGGCTTCATTACTGAGGAGCTCTCTTGTGGATGGCTTACAGTGAAGTGTTTGAGGGGTAAAAGACTCTAGACTAAGCTGTTTCCTTTATTCTCATGCTGTCCCTGAAGTGGTTAACTGGAAACCAGAGTTCCTGTGACCAGGCAAGACTACATTTTAACAGACCTAGGGAACAGTGGAGACCTGGGAGGAGTGTGACAAAATTCTGGGTCACAGCAGGGCCACAGTGAGACTCTACTGCTCAGGAAAGAGTTGTCCAGTGTGAAATCTGTACCTGGAAATGTGCTTATGGTAGCTGGGACAATCAACAATAATTAGTCACTAAACAAGTTCATTGGAACAGAGCAGCATGTGAGATTCAGCACCTGCATCTCATCAAAGCAAGTAAATGTCTGCCTAGAGGATAGAGGCAGATGGAGTTACTGATACATCACTTTTCTGGAAAAGTTGTGAGCGCCTTTTTTTTTTTGCTAGATACTTCTTTTATCTACTCTTTTAAAGACTTGTATGTCACTTGAAAGTACTAAGCAAAAAATATATATGAAAGCTTGTAATATCAAAAAATAGGTTTTAGTTTCAGCAAACAAAAATGCTAACTTGGCTAAAAAGGTCAGAGACAAATTCTGGAACTACATGGTGGTTTTTTAAAATTTTGAGATGGTGTTTAAAAGGGAGACTCTAAGGCTAAGATGATGTTTGTTTGCTAGAACACATTCACTTTTGAAAGGTCAATAAATCATCTGGAAGTGAATATTTAAATTATCATGGCTAGATCTTGTTTTTCAAATGCCAGATTTTTTAATTCTGTATGTTTGAATTCACTATATGCGTGTTACTTGATTAAATGGAAATAAAAGTATTTCCTAAATGAGACTAAAGAAACCACCTGTTTAATAACTGCTAAAAATCTAGCATGTGAATTCACATCATGCAAGGTATCCAATGTAAAGGAAGCTGTAGGAAACAAATTATTTAAAGAACTGAAATAGAGCAAACTGATCACTCTTTATATAAGATGTAAGAGTGTTTCTCTCATTCATCCTAATTCATTCCGCCCACTTCTGCTGCTTGAACTTTCCTAATTGTTTTTTATCACTCATCTCCCACTAACCTCACTGTTTCCTGACTGCTATCCCAAGTCCCTCTTCCCCTATTTACCCACCTTTCCCACTGCCTATTCCCCTCCCTTTTCTTTTCATGCTCTAATTATCTGTGCAAATTAGTAGAGTACATTTTCCAAAAAATACAAATGCTGCTCAGCAGTAATAACAATAGTCCTCCAGCTTGTTTTTGGATTATCCCAAAAGCAGGGTTTAAACTCTCACTATGGAGGTGGCTGTGGCTGAAATACAAGTCTCCCAGTTGCAAACACAACAGACTGGAAACATTCTCATCCTGATGTTGGGAGATATACACATTTCAGTAATTTTGGCCTGTGTGTTTGGGAATCTATCGTTCTGTAGAGCCAAACTCTTGAACTGTTTTGAGCACTGCTTCCCCCAAATGGCAGTACTGCCATTCAGTAGCCCACCTGAATGCTGAGCGTGGCTCTGCTCTACCATTAAACTACAGCAGAGCTGGCACTGTGCTATCCTAGCATTTGCTATTTTATTAATGGATAATGATGTGTTTTAAGGCTGACACTTCCAATGCAATATAATAGTTTTGTGGGAAAAAGGAGTTAAAAATTCTATTTTTCTCACCATAACCAGTTCAAGGAGACTTGCAGCGTTCTCCTTTTCCTCTTCTGTTCTTGGTTCTTTTACATTCATTTCTTCCAGCTCATTTTCCTGCTTTAAAATGTTGTCTATATATTCCTGGTGGAACAATGAAAAGGAACAAGAAGGATGCAGACGTTTTCTTTGCAGAGGTAGACTTCAGGGGCACATATATAGACACTATAGAAGTAATGGACATACCTGCTTCTCAATGTCATAAAGGCCCCTTCTGTGAATTTGTGTGAATGGGTTATATGGGTATCTAAAGGTCTGCATGGAGAAATAGTTTTTAAAAAAAACAAGTCAAAGAGAGGAGTGCATGCTGAGAAGGTAGCCTGTGAAAGCTTACCAAGGGCTCTGAAGACTAGCAAGGCTATTGAATCTGCAAGAACTAATACAGTAAGGACACCAACAGTCTGCTGAAGCTCTACCAGGCCACTAGCACACATCAGCATCCGCAAAGAACCACATCCAACAGCTATCCAGATGCTCCTGGTGTGTCAGTCTGACCCCCTGCTTCCCAGTAGGCAGGTGGGTTTGGCCTCCCAACTGTTGCAGCAGCCAGGCAAGTACAAGTCAGCGTGCAAGTGTTTGAGTAAACTATGTGAATGAATAAAGGAATGTGTTGAGTAAATAGCTGCTATTAATAATAATCAATTATATTATTAAGATCAGCTTAATGAATAAAAGGTGTTCTAACAAACATTGTGATCTGTATCTCCCTCCTGTTTGATCTCCTAGGAGGGAAAAGGAAATTTACAACATCGTAATTGAAAAATTAGGTTCAGAAAAAAACCCGAAGCTCTGTTTTTAGACAGATGTTTACTTTGCCAGAATCACACCAAGTGCTACAGAAAACTTTTCTTTTCCCACACTTCTTTATGCTTTAGAAGACCAGCTGGATGGCAAAAAGGGTCCTTACAGAAGGCTGTCCTAACACAGCACTCTGCCAGAAAGCTACATGCAGTACCGAGCTTTATGAACAGACAAGGTCTGCAGAAGCAATCTGCTTCCAGTTCTTTTTCATTCCTTTATACCTCTTAAATCTTAAACAGGATGGAGAAAGGAAGAATATCTTTTTCTTTAGATCTTGATTTAGTTCTGACAAAGAGAATATTTGGCTACAGATTTAAGATACCTCTTTTTGGAAATATCCATTAATTAAACATTGATATATGAGCAATGAGTATATTTCCATTGCACATTAACGCAATTATTAACAGATGATTTCTCAGTGCCAATAACTGCAACTCTTCCTTCCCAATATAACAAACAGCATTCTTCTTTTTCTAAAAGACAACAACAGATCTGGTCAATGGAGAGACTTACCTTGGGATTTTGGGGGGGAACTTTTTTTTATAGCATTGCCTTTGAAAGATCAGTATGTGAATTAAAGAATCATTTTTATATGTTTATAGACTGTAAAAGGGTAAAATTTAATTCTGATAGACTGGCATGTCCCACAGGTGCCAGGGCTGAATAGCTGTCAATGTTTTTCTATTGCAAGCATGTCTTCTTTGAAATGTGATGTTAATTAAAAAAAAAAAAAAAAAAAAAATCAAAGTGGCTACAACATGCTACTACCTTCACAAATTTCACATACTGTTCACTTTCAAATTCAGTCTGCAATGCCACCATCAGAATATGTTAAATGAATAAATTATAGAACACATGTATTTTGTTATTCTCTAATTGGTGAGTAATAATGAGTTTTTAACTCTAAAATCTCTTCTAAGAGCATCTTCACAATGTGAATTAAATAAATCTATGTTTTATACCCAAACGGAGAACTATGAAGCTGCTGACAGGGATCAACTGCAGAACTTTCAGATTCCATCTCAGAACACTTGCACATGAGATAGAGCTTGCACCTTGTTATGAACCTGTCACTCATGAGGGATGGACACACACTTTGTCAGAAGGCTCCATAGCTATTCGCTAGATGAGGATAGAACGACAGAACTCAGACTTGAACCTGGAAATGTTCTGTACTGATTTATGAAAACAAATACATAACCAAACCAGTGAGTGAGTCTCAGTGACCCCATCACCAAGGTAACTGTAGAATTATGGTGGGTTAGAAATTCTTGTACAACTTAAATTTTTAAGTTTTTAAGGCTTTGTGGAGGAAAACCCTAAGCAAAGCAAAAGCAAAGTAACAGATATCAATATTGACAGAAAAGAAACTATTTGTTAATGTACTATGTGTGATGTGTACTGGACTGGATCCCACATATTTGCACAGAAAAGTAGGTTCCACAAGAGATGAGTGAAAACAGTTGAGCTGCTTCAGAAATACACTTGTCTTAGAGCACCTGCCTACGTATGAAATATTGATTGTTCTTCAAAAGTAGCAGAATTTTTGTGTCAGGCATATACTGCAAATTCCTGTCACCCAATTTGTCTGTTCTCTATTGCTCACTGGAAGAATGAATAAATGTGATTGTACTACCTTAAGGGAAAGCTGCAGCTTTTCTCTTAGTTCATCACTGAGTGGCTCATATTGGAATAGCTGACGGATTTGCAGTTTATTAGGACATTTTCGCACAGGTACTGGCAAGCACGTCTGCTCTTTGGATCCAATGCAGAGACCTCTCCAACTACATGTTCTGACTGAGGGACCCGTGATCTTCCTCTGAACGTAGACAAGAACAAGAAAAAGAGCAAGAGGCTGCTTGTATTACTGACGAAATGCAGGTATTGGCAATGTGTGTCTCAGCTGAAAAGCACATGCTCTCCTTATAGCATCATAGATCTAGACAATAAAGTCAGTAGATTCTTGGGCATAATTTATCTATTCTAAAACTTCTTCATCTGGAAAGATGAACTCCCCTTAAAATTACATTACTGAGAGTAAAAGAAGCCCAAGGTGACTACATTTTCCCTGACACAGCCCATCCCTTGCTTTGCCCGCTTAATAAACGGGACTTAACAATGTCACATTGTTTAGAGCTCCATTTCCCCCCCATGACAAACATCTATTGCTTAAGCAGCAAAGGACAATTTTGAAACAATTATACCTCAAGAGGAGAAAATGTGTCCCAGGTCCTTGACTGAAGATTTGGAGGAACAATACTCTCTGGTTCTTTCTTCATTACCCAGGGGGATTCTTCAGGCAAAGGGCGGAGGATAGTAATACTTAAAACACCTGGTTCAAAGACACATTTTGCTAAGAATCAGTTCAAATCCAAAAATGATGGACAAGTGTCTCAAACCTCCAGAAAAATATACTTACCTAAGTATAAAAACCCTTATTATTAAGTGGTAAAACTCCATGGGAAAATGCAATACTCATGGCTAGAAGTAATACTGGATCAGTGAGGTGATTATAGAATAGTTAGATGAGTTCGGATCACGGAGATGATTATAGAATAGTTGGACAAGTTCAGATTACTCAGACCATGTTTTAACAACAGGCTGCCTATGCTACTTGCTTGGAGTCTTGGGTAACAGCTCGGTTGTATAGTGTGTGGAGTATCCCAAACAAGGACGAGCAGACCATTGACCCATGTATACTGAATACTAATCTCAGAAGTACATCATATTCAGAACATAGAATCATAGAATCATTTAGGTTGGAAAAGACCTTCAAGACCATGCATAATTCTTCACTGTATTTTATAATTTACAATCTGATCACTGGATGGATTCCATTAGAGATGATTTATTATCTCTTTTTATTGTTCTGATTAATTTTAATGTTCTTCAAAATTTTTTTTCCAACCCAAAAGTCTACTTAATCTACTATTATCTACCCCATAGGTGGCCTTCAAAATGGATATGACCACTGAGGTACTTTGTCACAATGCTACAAAATTGTAGAACCTTGGTGTCAAGACAAATGGAGCCACTATTGAGAAAGGTAGAGTATGAAGCCTGGAAAAGCAGACGTGCTACTATTATAAATGACTGCTGGTTGCGAGCAGGTTTTCTTGACTGGGATTTTTACTGGGTATCTATCTTCTCCATCTTCCTGATCTTTCCACCTTCCCTATCTTTCTGTCTCCCCCAGTGCCCTTTCTCTTTTCCTCTTCCCGTGGCAAAATGATTTCATTCATTTTATACAATGGGGAACTGGTCATTATTGCAAACAGAAGCAGCATTTAAAAAATGTGCAAAACCTGGCAAGAGTAGTAGGTAGGAAAACTGCTCTCCATGCTTATGATATAAAACTTTGAGAAGAATGTCTTAGTACTTTATGACTTGAAGCAAACTATCCTTATCTTCCTGCCATATTCAGGGGAAATATATGTTCCTGTCTTTTTAAAGATATATTTATTTTCTTAGGATCTACCTATTAAGTCACGGTGTATTTTATAGAAACACAGTGTCTCCAACTAACTTTGCAATGATAACCAATCATTTCAGGATGTAACTTCCTGTATTGCTACTACGAGGTGGTTGGTGCCATGTACTACTGGCATCCCCTATTTCAGTCATATTTTTCCAGCTTCTTAATTACATATATTTATCCTTTCCAACAGACAAAGGGTCAACATCAGAGTATCATTGTCTTCATTGGTAAACAGAGCTCTATGGTTAATGAAGACTGTGATACAGTCAATGTTTTTCGATGGTAAATACACAGAGAATCTATGCATTTGCAAATCACTTTTGTTTGCGTGTCTGAGAGAGGATAAAGATATGCTAGTTGTTTGTTCACTTATCGCTTCACAGTGTCATTCTGTTAATTCTCTGCTTCCCAGAGTTTTCCAAAGGCTCCTTCTTGCCCATGCTTCACTACCAGAAGTGTGGGTGCCTCTCTACATGGGGAAAAACATTTTCAAATTTCCTGTCCAAATAAGAACTTCAAAACTTCTGACTCCACCTATTTCTGTTAGTTCATCGGAAAAGAAATAAAGATTTTCCTACCTGGACGTTCTTGTACAGGATCCTGCAAGACAGCAGCAGTGGGATCACTACAGGCTTCGGCAAGATACCGGTGTACATCCCTGCTCCGCAGGAGCTCAGTTCCAGAACCATCCGCGTAGACAATGAAGAACCTACAGAGCCAGCCACACACATGGGATTGTATCAGCCGTAGGAGGCAACGTGTTGGCAGCGAGGGTCTGCAGGGCGGCTGCTGTGAGGAGCGACCAGGGGCTGCCCTGTGCTGGACACAGATGGTCCCAGCCGGCTCCAACAGACCCTCCACAGGGCACAGCTGAGCCCCACAGCCAAGATAGTGGTGCCTCAGGGAAAGTGTGTGTAAGAAAGGGCAAAATGCCACACAGGCAGTGACGAGTGAGGGATAAAGTATGAGAAACAGCCCTGCAGCCACCAAGGTCAGAGAAGGAGGAGGGAGAGGAGGTGGTCCTGGTGCCAGAGCAGTGATTCCCCTGCAGCCCGTGGAGAGGACCACGCCAGTGCAGGTGGATATTTCCTGAAGGAACCGCAGGCTGTGGAGAACCCACGCTGGAGCAGGTTTAACCAAAAGGACTGCAGCCCGTGGGAAGGACCCACGATAGAGCGTGGGAAAAGTGTGAGGAGGAAGGAGCAGCAGAGAGGAGCTGTTATGGACTGATGGCAACCTCCCATTCCCTGCGCGGCTGGGGTGGGGAGGAGGTAGAGGGGTCAGGAATGAGGCAGTGATGTTGAGCCTGAGAGGAAGAGGGGGTAGGGGAAGGTGTTTTAGTTTTTTGTCTTTGTTTCTCACCATCCAACTCTGTTTTAATTGGCAATAAATTAAATTAATTTTCCCCAAATTGAGTCTGTTTTGCCTGTGACGGTAATTGGAAAGTGATCTCCCTGTCTTTATCTTGACCCACGACCTTTTGCATCTTATTTTCCCCCCTTGTCCTGTTAAGGAGGGGGAGTGAGAGAGCAGCTGGGTGGGTGTTTGGCGGGAGGCCGAGGTCAACCCACCACACTGATCAAATCCAATGGCTTTCAAACTGCATTCTTTTCCAGATGACAAAAATGAAAAAGTACTGTGATGACGTGGCAAGAAAAAGGAACTCCAAAATAACGACATCAAATGTGCAAATACAGAGTACTGAACAAAGGAAGCGCAAATCTACAAACCCTGTACAAATACAGTGTAGTGAAGAAAGAAAGTGTAAACCTATGAATCCAGTGCAGTTTACCTGGGGACATGCTCATCATAAGTGATAGGTTTGTTAACTTCTGGGAGTGCTGATGCTGAACTTCTGTCTTCCTTGTCATGAGAGCCAATGCTAGGAACACACACAGATGTGCTGCCATCAGCCATGACCTGTAATAGAAATTATATAAAATTACTTGAGTTACTTGATACATTTAAAATAGTAACTTCCTGCTGAACTGTAATATGACAGTTAGCCCAATGAAAGAGACAGAAAAAACATATTTCAGGTTGAGCAACCTGGAATTCACAGGAAAAAGAAAAGACGACCAAAACTGAAAAGGCAGTGAAAAAATCAAACCAAACACTTCTAGAAAGACATGCTATATCATAAATGCTAATATCACATGCTCGTATTTAATAAATGCTCAAGGATTGTTAGCTGTCAAATGGGGCCATCCATGCTTACATTCCATCTTCAACATATATATCTGCAGGCATCAATAGGCAACTTCACACAAAAATACTCACTTGCTGGTCAAGCCAGGTAACTGTATACTCAGACAGGTACTGATGTACCTCTGTGAGGTATATATGTATCTATGTATATACACCTACACACAAATATATACATAATTGTCTATACACTATAATGTTAGTTAATAATTACATAGGACATACATATATACTCATATAAATGTGTGTATATATATAAATGTGTATATACATACATGTGTGTATATATTCACCTATATAGAGGTATATAGGTGAATGTATGTATAAATATATACCCCTATATATACACACATTTATATACATGTTGACATACGATAAGATATAAATTATATATATGTTTATCTATCCACCTACATATACCTGGTGTATATATGTATGTATAAATATATACACATCTATATACATGTTGATATATGAAGAGACATAGATATAGATACAGATTATATATCTACCTATATATACGTATAGATATATATAGGTATATATGGATAGAGGGGTCCCTTTTCAGGCATTTATTCACTTTAAAAATATGGTCTCAGATAATCTTATGATAATACTGAGTGAATTTCTACAGTATTTCCATCTCGTGATGATTAACTTACATGCCATTAACATATGCACACAAGGTATAATAATGCCTCTAATTCTTAGTATAGTCAGTTGAAGGACAGTTGCCTTTGGAAGATACAGTTTAAACCAAAGTGATTCAAAGGGTGGTCCATGAACTGAATCTGCCACACCCAGTCCATGCCCATTTCACTCTAGTCTCAGGTGTGACTAGGACAGAGGAAAAACCAATGCTATTACACGTGTACCTGGTTGCCATCCCTACTAACCATTAATCTCACCTTTCTTACTACACTGCCCCATATCCCCTGTGATCACTACTCCCACAATACGTTCAACTGCCCCACGGCTGCCTCAACCTTCTTCCCTTGTTCCCTACGTATAAGCTGAGAAAAAGCAGGACGTGCTGATTCCGATGCCAAGCAACTTCTGGCCTGCTTTGAATTGCACTGATTTTGTAGGAACTGGCTATCTTTGAAATTTCTACCCCTCTGTTGATCAGTTCAAAATTTGTTAGGGAGAGAGTGACAGATAGCATAGATTTATATAAGCACTGTTTCTTCAGCCTAGGAAACAAAGTTAAAACTTTATTATAATGCATATGTCCAGCGGAACCGCAGTGCTGTTTCACAGGAATCTGGGAAAATGGTAATGATTACAACTGCAACAATAGAAAGTATACTCTAAGGATGTCACACTTAGAATGTTTAATTATAACCTTTAATTAGAAAATAGTATGTAGGTCACAGACACTTACATGATGTTTCCTGAACTCAAAACTAAGTACTAACCTAGCTCAAAAATGTCTCTTAGGTGTAAAAGGAGCACAGCACAATCAGTATGACTTTAGAAGACTGAATCATTCCTTTTACAACAATATTCGCCTTACCAGGCAGATTAGAGTGTTTCTACGGACCTTCTGAAAAGCCAATATGCTCTCTCATTTTTAATCCTCATTTGCAGAGATGACTTTTTGCTATAAGACAAGTCATGCTAATTAAGTTAACTTCACAGGTGAGGTAAACTGTAGACCATGTGTTTTATTTCAACCTCTCTAAAAAGGGGGAAATACCAAAAACAGGGAAACCCATCACATCCTCAAGAACATTTCAGAGACCTGATTCAGGAACTGTTTCTTCTGGCTAGCTAAGCTACTTTAAGAATAAGTACTACAAGGCTACAAGTTGACTTTGAGAGGTGTTTATAAGATAAAAATTACTTAAAATGCAGAAACTTGTTCCTTTCCATGTATTTTACCTTAAAAAGATTTCCTTCGGGATCCATCATCTCACAAATAGTGCTAGAAGTGTGTTTCATAATGTATCTCCCTGCTTGTTTCTCTTCTTTCTTGCTGATGAAATTGTAAACTTCATGGGTATAAACTGCTGAGCAATCTTCATCAATGAAAAGAGAGCTTGTCTTCTTGGGTAAAACCTATCACAGTAAGAAGGGAAGAGATTCAGTCTTGAAAGGTGAAATCTTCAGTTTAGAGGTACCATGAAAACGAACAATAGATGCAAATCAAGAGGAGAGCTCTCAGACCTTTACTACTGAATCATCCAGTTTTGAAGGACTAGAGGGAGAGAAAGAAGGAAGATGAGGTCCAGGAGTTAGGCTGATGTTAGTCTCTGTAATATTTTCTTTAACTTCAGGAAATTTTAGCTTGTGATTTAAATATACTATACAGTTTTGAGGAAGTATCATAGAATCGTAGAATATCTCAAGTTGGAAGGGACACATAAGGATCACTGAGTCCAACTCCCTGCTCCTCTCAGGACTACCTAAAACTCAATGATATGACTAAAAGCATCATCCAGACACTCCTTGAACTCTGACAGGCTTGGTGCCATGACTACTTTCCTGGGGAGCCTGTTCCAGTGACCGATCACCCTCTCAGTGAAGAGCCTTTTCCTAACATTCAATCTGAACTTCCCCTGATGCAGCTTCATTCCATTTCCTCGTGTCCTATTGCTGGTCACCAGAAAGAGGACATCAGCACCTCCCCCTCCACTGTCCCCCTTCAGGAAGGTGTAAACTGTGATGAGGTCACCCCCCAATGATGAGGTCACCCCTCAGCCTTCTCTTCTCCAAGCTGAACAAACCAAATCGCCTCAGCTGCTCCTTGTAAGTCTTGCGCTCAAGACCTTGAACCATCTTGGTTGCCCTTCTCTGGACACACTCTAATAGTCTGATGTCCTTCTTATACTCAGGGCGCCCAAAACTGCACACAGAACTTGAGGTGGGGCTGCACCAGTGCAGTGTAGAGTGGGACAATCACCTCCCTTGACCGGCTAGTGATGCTCTGCTTGATGCACCCCAGAACATGGTCCTTTTGGCTGCCAGGGCACACTGTTGACTCATATTCAACTTGCCATCTACCCAAAGCCCTATATCTCTCTCCACGGCACTGCTCCCCAGCCTCTCGTCCCCCAATTTGTATGCATAACCAGGATTATCCCATCTCAGGTGGAGAATCCGGCACTTGCTCTTGTTAAATGTCATACAGTTGGTGATTGCCCAGCTCTCTAGTCTATCCAGATCTGTCTGTGAGGCCTCTCCACCCTCAAGGGAGTCCACAGCTCCTCCTAGTTTAGTATCATCATCAAACTTAATGTACATTTGATTCCTGTGTCCAGATGATTTAATAAAAACATTAAAGACCATTGGCCCCAAAACTGAGCCCTGGGGAACCCCACTGGTGACTGGCTGCCAGCCTGATGCAACCCTATTTACTATAACTCTTTGAGCCCGACTTGTCAGCCAGTTGCTCACTCAACGTATTATGGACTTGTCTAGCTGTGTGCTTGACATTTGGTCCAGAAGGATACTGTGAGAGACAGTATCAAAAGCTTTGCTTAAAATAAAAAAACCACATCTACTGGCTTCCCTTGGTCAACTAGATGGGTGACATTGTCATAAAAGGAAATTAAGTTAGTTAAGCAGGACTTTCCCCTTGCGAACCCATGCTGGCTATGACCAATGACTGTATTGTTTCTCAAGTGTTTTTCAGTAACTCCCAGAATAATCTTCTCTATAATTTTACCAGGCACTGAAGTGAGACTGACAGGCCTGTAATTACCAGGGTCTTCCTTCTTGAATATTGGGACAACACTTGCCAGCTTCCAGTTGACTGGGACCTCTAATATCTAAATATTGGCAGAGTACAAAAGAGATGGAATCATAGGAATTGTGAAGGCTATAAAGAAGGGAGTTAAAATAGTCAAGGTGAGAGACGCTGATGGCAGGGAACTTGGAACACAATGATACATTTCACTGTCACAAACTAAAAATAATTCCCACCTGATATGTTCCCTGTGGCTTTGCTATAATAGAAGTCCCATCTCCAAAGATGGTACAACAGGTACCGTCCTCACAATTTATTATAACAGTAGCAAACTCAGGATTCTCTACTTGCATACATTTCACCTTCCTTGTGACGGCTTCCGAGGGTTCATCTAAGAATTAATACAGAACAACTAGGCAGGAGCACATGAACCATAGAAAAGTCTTAGGATTCAATTTGCCTTTTCTCTCATAAGGCTGGACCTTTATCTCCTCAGTAAAAGACCCTCAGATTTCATAACATCCTTTATCACATGATTTTATGTTAGGTGAACAATATGCAACATTCAAGTTTTTGGACTGTGCACTGAATATAGGAAAATCCAACAGCAAAAAAAAAGTCTGTACCCATCTGTAGCTGGTGTGGTCAGGAGAGTACTCTCTAATTTATCAGGTACAGTACTAACCATAATGATCTGGATATTTGTAACATACAAGTTGGACCACTGAAATTTTTTAGGCCTGTGATACAAGCTCTAAGATGTGAAGAAATTCCTTTTCAGCAGCAGAAGTCAGGGAAAACAAATCAAACCGGTATGTTAATCTGTATGTTAATTGCCTTCCCACTGAACAGGCAGACCAGTTCAAGGTCATTGTTTTGATTTTTAAAACCCTAGAGAGAGGTGTTCCACAACCAGAACTTTCTACTGTGTTTGAACACAACAGTCCTTGACACCCACACAGTAAATATATACTTCATGTTAATTACAGAACTTAGCCAGCAACTGAACTAAGCATACAGAATATACTGCCAGCCAGAAGAAACACAGATGACCATTAGCCCCACTTGTTTCAGGTGAATATAGTTTCACTTCTACTAGGTGTGGCATTTTCCATGGCCACATTCAATCAAATTTTGAATACGTCTAAGGTTGGTGAGTCCATGGCCTCTCTGGGAAATATGAGGATGCCCTGGTCCTTATACCCTATTCGGTTAAGACTCAAGTCAGCTTGCTTGTTGTATCAGAGTAGGTGGAGAGCAGGCAACGAACATACTAGAACTCAGGCACTTGTGGTCTCATTGGGAAGGTGGGTCACGTAAGTATATACATGGAAAGAAGGAAATTTGCCTGTTTGCTACAATGTAATTTTTGCCCTGAATACTGAATAAAAAAAGACAGAGCAGACAAACTAAGCCTAGACTGCACTAGTGGATTTATTATCTAGGCTATTGGTATGAGCCTTCTTTAGCATATTTTGACAATTATCGGCTTCACAAGATATAGCAGAGATAAGTGCTCCCCTTTTGATTTTACCTGTTTCCTCACTATCCTCTGGTACAAAAAGTTCTTCACAGTTTTGATAAAAAGTTGTGATCCTAGTACCATCAGCATGATCTACTACTCTGCTGCCATCCAGCTTCTCAACAATTATCACTTCATCATCTCGTACAGTCATTACCTGAAAGAATGAAGGAATACTCATTTATATTAGCTCTGTGATATTGTAACAGCAACAACAGTAAAACAAGGCATTATGTACTGAAACTCTGAAGACTACTGCAACTTGATCTACCAGAGACCGAGGATGGGCATTTTCTTCAAAATCTAAACCTTTTATATTAGTAACAGTGTAATAAGACAACCTGTAGGATATATGTTCAAAGAACAAATCCTACAACTTATACAATGCCAGCCCTGTCTCTTAGCTTAGTAAACAGTGCTATAGTAACACAAAAATAGTAATACCGTTCCATCAGCTGGGTCAGTTGCCTGATAGATTAAGACTGGTTTCAGATCCATTCTCTTTCCTCCCTCCGTGCCCACTCGAATGCCTGATGGCGTAGTTGTTATCCAGGTTCCTGCCGGGTTCTCCTTAGGTTGCTCAGAATTAACCAGACCCTGCACAGTATTTTCAAAGAACTCATCCTTGTTTGGGTGTGATACGCTGTTTCTGTCACTGCCTTTCCCTGCAGAAACAAAAACTTCTGTATCAGACTTGGCATTCTCTAAAGCAAAAGGCAAAATCAAGAAAGTGAAGAGTTTCTGTGAGTATTGGTTTTGACAGAATTGAAAGAAGAACTATTTATCAGGCTGGAGGACAATTACAAGTGCTGTTACTCAAGGCATGCCCTTGAAATAATCTTATTTAATGTGTTCATTAATGACACAGAAAAAGTAAACAGCATGCTAATGACACCTGATTATGACAAGACTTTGGAAGGGACTATCAACGCAGAAGAAAATCTGAATGGATTACAGAAAGAAGGCATCCAAAACTGCCCCACGAGCCTGAAGATTGAAGTAATATGATGATACACCCCATTAGAATGAAATTTAATGCAAAAAGGAATAAAAATAATTTATGCTTCAGACAAGTTTCCAACAGTAGAAGAAAAGACAGACCTGAACACAAGTTACCAGTGTGAAAATACGGTGACAAAAAGGCAAACACAATCCTATGGTATATCAGAAGAAAAGGATGGCGATTCAGTTGTGAAAGGGAATTGGAGAGATCTTACTAAGAATGTGATAGAGAACTCTGGTCTCCCATATTCAAGAAAAGGAACTTAGACTAAAAGTATACAAAAGACAACAGCATAGTTCAGAGAGAAGCCTAAAAGGCTTACAGCATATACATCCTGGGGGGCGGGGGGGGAAGCCAAAGAGAGATGAAACTTTTCACTATAAATTTGTCAAGACTATGGCAGTGGAGAGAAAAAGTCAGGGGGGGCGGGGGGAAGTGATCATAAATAAAGGATAAGGAATGAAGCATATACACTGGCCACAGATACTGAGACTGAAAATTAGAAGCTGGTTTGTCAGGGAAGTTCTCAAATATCCTTCCAATTATCCTAAGGAATATCCTCAGAACAAAGATTGGGCTTGAAAGTCTCTTTTTTAAAAGACTTTTCTCTTTGGCAGCAATTTTTATTCACATACATCCATTAAATTATATGTTAATATTATGAGAAGTCATAATTATTCTTTGGACTAAGGAGCACTGACAGCGGTCTCGGACTACACTGAGGTATGAAGTAAACTGTTATTTGGTTCTTTCTCAGCCAAACACAATAACGTGAGAATGGTTATATTGGGACAGACCACAAGTCCATACAACCAATTAATAATGACCAATAGTAGGTGCCTTGGAATACATACAACGAGAAAGAAAAATACAGTAAGTCCTTTGTGAGAGAAGCATTTCTCAATGCCAAAACTAAAAACTGTGTAACACATAAGTAAGGATTTGACACTAGTGTAGCTACAAGGATTTCTTTTAAAATACTTTGTGTTGAATCGCTCTGCTACTGATGTAGATCTTACCCACCCTTATCCTTATTACAGTCCTAGCATGTTAGAGGAAAAATAAAACTGGAGTAGGAGAGAAATTATTTGATATGAAGGTAACAAATTAGTAGTGTGCAGCAGCTGAGTACAGATAAAATTGCATTTTCACACTAGCAGAATTTTCAGACTAAAGAAATATGCCCTTTGTTAAGTATCATCATCCCTGCTAACTTTAAATGTGTCCAAAACACTGGAAATGTTACCTTTCTTAGTGCTGGTCTCAGGTGAAGGCTCTGATTCTGGTAACAGTTGCATGTTATCTGGAATTGTAGGTGGTGGTAGGACAGGACCAGAATCAGGACTCCTACTCACTGTGCCATCAGCAAACAGAATCTACAGCAATCAAGGACATACTAGAGGTTAAAAATCACTTCAACTACCAATAGAAAGTCTCAAAAGAATGTGTTGCAAATGCAATAGTCACTAGAATATTGTGGGTGATGGGGGTGGAGGAAAGTAAAAGACTCTCAGAATGAATATAAGAAATAAAGAAGCTATCTCAAAAAGAAAGGACTGCTAATTGCTGTAGTTGACGTATATAATTAACGGGGACTCTATTTAGTAACAAATAGGCATTATAAAAGTAAACAGTAAAGATTATTCTTTGACTATTTAAGTGGTCAAAGGTTGATGATTTTTTTTTCGTTGCAGTGGTAATGCATTTGTATCACCATATTGATCTGTATTCAGGTATTCCACATGTCTAGGATTGCTGTTAATTTTTTAGCTATCAAGACAGCTAACAAAAAGAAGTCATGGTTATTTATCTTATTATAGCTGGTTTCTGAGATCTATTGTCCATTACACTCAACTCTTAATATGCATGTTCCCTGTGTGGCAGGGAACAATCATCCCTGAATTCATTTACAGTACAGATATTCTAGGGAAAAGATGGTACAATGTGGAAAACAAATGGACAACATATAGAAACATCTCAAGAGTTACAGTTACTGTAAGGTAATTAACAATTTATTCTTTTTTGAATGCTTATCTATATGCAATATATTCTTGATGAGTCACAAACATTGAGTTAATATAAAGAAGGATGCACTCATAAAGTGCTTATACAAAGACTATGGTACAATCATGGTAGGCACATTAAGATCTATATTCTTCTGTCAGGAAAAAGTATGTTGAGAATATATAGACATAGAGCAGCTAGCTCCTTTGCATATTTCTGAAATGGGTAAGTTTCTCAGAAATCCTGGCTAAATAGTTTAAGATCTAATGTAATGAATGAATGTAAAGAACTTGTACTAGGAGTTGTGGTCCACTTAGAAGAAAAACTTGAGGAAATAAGGAATTATTTTGACAGTTTCCAAGTCAAAACAGATGACTCCTCTTTTCACCTGTTTGCGAACTACACATACAGTCTTACACTTTAAAAAGAGAGTTGCTTGTAGATTGATTACAGTATCTGCAAAGTTGGTATCTAGCCTATAGCACCTAAAAGGAACCAGAACTCCAGACAACCTAAATATGTGTAAACAAAGAAGGTACTTAGGAATATAAAGTCTTTTCGATGAAAATTTAGGATACCTAAAGGTGTCTGCAGGATTGAAGAACAATTCAAGTCCTTTCTGGATCCCATATGTCTGTTCAGATGACTGAAAAAATATATGGATGCTTTTCTGTTGCCAAAAATACCCAAAGCCCAGCTAATCCACACTTTAGGTGTTTATATCCAGGAATGCAGTTCTCAAAACCACATTCAGCTATTTCCTAAACCCAAAGTTGCCTAAAATCTTCACATGCCTGAAGTTTTCATCATTTAATCTCCCTATGTGCCTTAAGTTCTGATTCTGAACAAAGCCAAGTGCATTTTAGTCTTGACATGGCCACATAACTCAGTGGTTAGTTAACTCCATCTACAAACTGGACACTTCTCTATCTCAGTTGACAAGCACAAGTTCAAGCGTAATCACACATGCAGGCTGCTTTCAATGAATTCTACTAAACATACCTGGGTAGATCCATCCATCATGTACTTTATGACAGTTCCTTGACTGGTGATGACTCTTGACACCTCTTGTTCTGTTTGCCTTGCCACAGACATATAGAGATGAGAGTTCTTTACCTTTTGGGGATAACTCTGTCTAACCAAAATATCCGGAGTAGGCTGCTTGGCCTGTTCTCTTTTGGTGTCTTCATGCTTTATTTCACCTTCTGTAACCTCATGTTCCTTCTCTCCACTTTCCATAACCTCTTCCTCTTTTGCTTTATTTGCTTTGGCCTCACCTTTTCCAAACTCCTCTTCCTTGGCTTCATCTGTTTCAGCCTCCCTCTTTTTTACCACCTCTTTCTTAGCTTCAGCTGTAGTGGCTTCACCTTTCAAATCTGAAAACAAATTCTGAATTAATTAATACTGCGTAGCACACATTCAAACAGTGTTAAACCCCCAGCATCATGGTGTCTATAGGAGGTATACAAATTTAGGTGAGTAAGGCTAACCCTCCCTGGCTTCCTCTGTAATCTGCAGAGTAAGGGACAGACTCTGTTTTTCAGAGTAGAGACCCCATTGCTGGAGGTTTTCGAGATGCAATTGGACAGGGTGCTGGATAATCTCATCTAGGCTCCCTTTCCCACAAAAGATTGGACCAGATGATCTTTCTAGGTCCCTTCCAACCTGGGCTGTTCAATGATTCTATGATTTTGAAATGAAAAGGAGAGAGATGTCCAAGAAGAAAAATGAGGGAAGCTTTTACTAGCAATTCAGGTCTATGTGGCCAAAAAAAATAAATCAAGACATTCCTCTCTCACATGATTATAAATTTGTGCTGGATCCTTGTGTACCAAACTATATTTATTAATGCTATTTGATACAAATTTCTGATTTTTTTAATTAATTTATATATACTGGGCTTACCACTTGGCTGGTTTCTAAGAGATATGTTGTTTCATCAGTTGCCAGGATGACAAATAATTCTGCTGGTTTTTATGCAACAGCTCACACATAGGATGTGTTGGAATTACTGCTAGCATGTACTTGGTGTGTGTAATAAATCTGGTTTATTCCTGGATGTGGGCACCTCTGCAGCTAGCTGTGCTGACCTATTGTCACATACTCAGTATCTCCAGTACAGCCTGGGCTGGACAGATTTGTTGTACATAGGTATTAATTGAAATCTGTGGGTGGCTCTTTTTAAAATTGACCCAATGACAACAACAAAATTCACATTTGTCTGCTTCAAAACCTAATGGCATGACTACAAAACCCTGAGATTTACAGTATGCAAAGATGAACCTCATGCTGGTTTTCAAAAACACTGGGAAACGGAATCATTGCAGAAGGATACGTCAGGCACAGACACTTTTAAATATCTATATAACCCATAACAATAAGGGCAGAAAGGTTTATTAGGACCATTTTCTCTATATGTACTGGATGGCATAAACCAAAGGACTTACGTGAAATAATTCCTGTCTGAAACTGATCATATCTTTTAGAAAGGCAACAAAACCCGATTGTAAAATATCCAGTAGCAGAGAGTCCATCACAGTGTGGGTTAGTTTTGCTAATCATTCTTACCATTAAAAAATGAGTATAACTTAAATCTTTTCATTTCCAAGCCCTGAAATCTGTAATACTTTTGTATACTGTGTTTACAAGCTATCACCAAAATTCTGTTTTCTTGTACTTCCAGACTGGCACCAGTCACACCTTTGACCTGTATTTTGGTAACTAAATTGAGTTCTCTGCTGACATGAGCTCACTATAAGATACATCTTTCAATGCTTTAATAATTCCTGTCACTCTTCCCTGAATCATTCAAAATATGAACATCTTGTCTTGTGGATTTAAGAACAATACATACGATTCCAAAGGAGGTGCACGTACAGGTAACATAATCTTCCTGTTGTCACTCAAGATTCCTCGATACATATGCATTTATGAATTGAATTTACTAATTTTTCTTTAGTATTCCAATATACATGCATATTCAACTGATTATCCAACATGACTCCCAAGTGCTTTTTAGGGTTGCTGCTTCCCTGCCCCCAATCTGTTACGTCCAACAACTTGCAATTCTAGATTTTACATTTTTTTGAATTAAAAGACATTATTTATGTTGCAAATACTATTAAATAGACATTATGATAGACTTAGCAATCTGAGACCTTAAAAAAATTCATATTGTTACATCTAAACCCACCAAGGCAGAAATAATTTTCTTCTGTAATTTTAACTTCTTTTAAATTCCTTACTTTGCAGTGGCTCAGAAAACTAACCTCCAAAACTTTCACCAAGGAAAGTTAATACTAGTCCATTGGGACAGGAGACGTTCAAACTTGGGAAAGCACGAGCATTTGACATCACTTGTGTTTGGGAAGCTGATTCTTCCATTTCCATCTACAAAACAAAATGTGAATTAGTTTTATTCCACATTTTAAAAGAATACAGAAAAAAAAATAGATTACAGATGTCAGTTGTAACAAGACATTTGAAAAAAAAAGTGCTTTCTCATTTTTAACATTTTGAGAATTTATGGATTCTGAAGTGGAAACATTAGCTTATTTTCTTTGACTACACTATCTTCTTTCATTCCTCTTTGTTAACCCTTGAAGAACAACCCTTCCTAACCATTCATTTTGCTGAGTCATTATGCTATCTTGTGCACAGTGTCAAGATGAGATGACAATAAACGGATAATGTGAAGCAGAGGAGCATGAAATAATTCTTGAAGTTGCACATCAGTTATTTTACTTATAACCATTAAAAGAATACAAAAGAGAAGTAGAGCAGTCTGCTGCAAATGCAGCACTGACTTGAGAAGGAGACAGGGAGGAATGTTTGGGAGTCATGACCCGTAATCCTCTTTGCACTGCTCTGTAGTGGAAACTGTTTTGATGACTAGAAAAGATGAGGCTGACCTAAGGAATGTCAAAAGACCCTGGAACATTTGGAAAAAATACAGCAATGGACCCTTTGATGTCGTCATCCCCCCCCCCCCCAATTATGTGACAATGAACTACACTATGCCTGTAGTCACAAGGTGAATACAGTTTTGGGCTGCAGACAGAGGTAACAGAGAGAACTTGTCCTGGTATTACCCCATATTCTTGATTTTTAGGAATAGAAATATAGGGAAAAATTGGCAGATGTTTTGCCACCTGTTTTTCAGCATAAAGTAAGCTGTACATTTTATGGTTACATTACATCATATTACTGGGTAATTAAGGCTACTCTCAATACCCTAAGATCGCAGTCACAGGATCACAGGGTAGAAGTCACAGAATAGGGCAGAAGCAACCCTCAGTTGTCATCTACTTATCCCTAATGGTAAAAAATATAATCAAGTATACCTATATCATTAGAGAAAACTGTTAATGTAACCAATTCTAAAAATTTCCAGGGCTGGAGGTTTCCTGGCAAACTATTCCAGTGCTTTACCTTGATTAACCTTACTGACATTTTCCTATTGGTTAGCCTGAATCTCTCTTGCAGAAAATTAGTTTACTTCTAATTATTTCTTCTGATTATATGGGCTAGCATAAGAGATGATGGTGTCCCTTTAGCTCCTTACAGAAGGGTATTCTGTCTCTCAACTCTGGATCACACCAACCCAAACCAAGCCTTTTAATCTTTCCCCACACGTCAAGTTTTCTAGACCTCTGATCCTTCTCGGTGCCTTCCTTAAAACTCACCAGTGCGGCCCACATTTTTCTTGCAGTGCAGTACCCATAACTGGACACAGTACTTCAAACGAGGCCCTACCAGCCCTGAACGGAAAATAACTTCACAGATTTAGCAGGCTATACTCCTCTTTATTCACTTCAATGTCGTCTTTGCCCTTCTCACAGCAAGATGGCATCGTTGACTTATGTATAGCTTGTGATCCATTGCAACTCAGACCTTTCTCTGTAGAACTGCTATTGACAGAACTGTTACCCATTCTGTAGATATATACTGATTATTCATATGTAACTGTAGAACCTAGCACTTATTCTTACTGAATTGCATCCCATTTTACAGACCATGTCCATGTGAATTTGTCAAGTTCACTTCGGATTGTAATCCTGTCCTCCAAAATACTTGCAGACTCACACAGCTGGGTGCTGCATGCACTAATATGGATATTCTCTGTCTGAAGACATTCTAAACCAAATAGTAAAACGCTTTCTGGAAGAAGAGGAGGAACTTAGATGTCCTCCTGACAGAATTTTAATGGTAGGAATATTTGTTTGTATAGGCTTCATTTGTGCCACACAATTGCTGTATGTTATGCTGAGTGCTGTTTGACAACTCCCTACACCACTTTCTGTGCTCATGCTCTTTAAATACCTAACTAAACTTGTTGAAATTAGGTCAGCAGGACTTTCTGTGGGTATGGACAGAACCCCTGTTGAAACAAAAGCCACAGCACTACTTCATCCACTAGGTACCACAGAAGCAGCATAGGTACATCGTGTTTAGAGAGTCTTCCAAGGCTATTTTTACAACTCTCAAGTATGTGTTCATTCTTGTCTTTCTTATTACTCTCTCCTCTCAGTAGCTTCCATTACAAGCAATCTCCTGTTTCTAATAAACCTGCACTGCATTTAACCCCCCATTTCCATATTGCCCAATCTACCTCTTTGAACAGTTCAGCTCAGCTCTGTCAAAAGAATTATGATCTCCATTCAACCTCCCTTGCCAAGGTAGCTGAGAAGATAACTCACAAGCCTCTGATGAGGGCATAGCAAGAGTGATTTTGAGAGAAGTGGCCAAAAGTAACCAGAGTAGAGAAAAAAACAGTTTTCCAAGACATAGTTCTGAAAAGGAAACATTCAGATCTTTAGACCAGAAGGTGGTGAACCTTTTCAGGGCAGTGCCCTAGAAAATGGTAGCAAGAACTGAAGTAGAGTTTCATGAAATGCCTCTGGAATTGGAAGCCACCACAGTTGGATGAACTACTATTAATTTTCCATGGAGAAATTCTGAGGAACAGGACAAAAGAGAAAACAGTGCAGGAAAAGATGGCAGACCTGGTGCCACTCATGTTCTTTACATATCACCCACCAGCCTACGGAAGAAGCAGAACATAAGAGAGAGAAGAACCAGCAGTTCTTTCTTCATCATTTCAGCCATACTTGATTAAAGATGGAACCAAGTAGGAGGAAAATTAAAACACACTACTATATGCTTCAAATAATTTTGCAGTTAGTCTGGAAAGATATTAAGAACCACATTTAACAAGCACATTATCTAGAAATGCTACTTTTTTGTAACTTGATCAGGTTAAAAAGGATAGCTTTTTTATCATAACTGCCATTAAAGAATTATCCCAGACAGTATATTTTAGAGCATTAGTGTTACATGAAACTGTTTATGGACCTCACTGCTTTGTGTTCTGATTATGCCTACATTCAGAAGACTGTCCTTTCCTAAACTGAAGGTTGTAACTAAATTGGTTCTCAGCACTATTCATGTTCATTTCTGTCCTTCTCTCAGAGTTTGTTTTGTATTTTAATTGTGTCCGTTTCTGGGACACTGCTGGTTGGAGAAAACAGTGTCAAAAAAGAAAAGAGGTTAAATCATCTCAAATAGAAAACTCTTGCATCCTCTTCCACCACCCTGCTAATATTGCCTCCCATACTTCTTTGACAACTTTTCATGTAACTCATACTCTGGCTGATCTGCGAGATCACTGGACCAAACAAACCTCCTGTGGTTGCCTACAGTATTCTGCCAATAGTTAGCTAATGACCTGAAATAATCTAGGCTAGTCATTTTGCAGAGGGGAGCTGTGACCCATTCCTGAACTGATATGGCCTCCCCTGCTCATGTTTTAATGCCAAAAAGCTTCTCATAGAGCTCTGTGGAAGGTGTTCAAAATTAAATGCTGTGCATTTCTGAGGCACATGATCCTGTAATTCCTGTATTACTCTGCGCTAAGTATTCCATAATAGAAATTCAGAGTCTGCTTTTGAAATGTCATCCATCCTTTCCAAAGACCTGTCCTGTGATAGAAGTACTTCAGTTACAGGCAAAAGTCACTTCCTCAAGTTGCTGGTCCCTGGCCCATGATCAGCTGGAAAGACCAAACTGCAGAGCAAGCTTTTGCAAAACTGTCTCCACTAATTTACCGGTTGGTTAGACCTCCCAATACAGGTTTTGGAAAGCACAGAAAAGTTCTCCTACTTGGGTTAAACTAAAAATTAATTTCTAGAGCAGTTCTAGTCACTGAGATATTAATAACATAACTGGTGTAACCGTAAAGCCAAAATTGACAAAAGTATGTGGACCATGGAAGACACACTGCTCTACATCATGGAGTTATAAAGGCTAGCTTCATTAGCAGCTGCCAGTATATGCATCTGAGAACAACTAGAAGAGTAAAACATATCCTTAGAAGCACCATCAATTGTCAGGAATTTGTTAAGGCACAGCTCAAAGCCCTCTGAGAAGAATATATGCTTCTGTTACATAAGTTTATGTATTTCAGTTTTTTGTTTGTTTCTTTTCTGTCTTCATTGGATAATGTCTATTCTCTCACCTTTCCTTCTTCTTGCTTTACTGGGTCATCAGATGGTGCAGGGCCTATTTTGCCATGGCTTGCTTTTGTAGATGACAGAGATTTTCCTGATTTCTGTTTGACGGACTTCTCTTTTTTTCCTGAAGCTGATGTAACAGGAGAAATTATGGTCGGAATATGAACAGAAGGGACATCCAGAATTCTTGCTAAGACAGGATCTGGTTTATCATCTAAGGAAGGGAAAAGCAATATTTTAAATGCAATTAAGTTTCATAAATGTAGATGGCCACATTTTATTTTTTAACAAGATTTTGTACACTAATTTTTACCTTTGAAATAATAACCTCAGTGCGGAAGTTTATTATTTCACATAGAGGGACTGAATATACGAAATTATTTAGAAAATCTTTCCATAGACTGACTACTCATCAGCCTAAAAGGCGTCTTGAAACTATTGTTTCCCACAAGTCATCACGTGCCTCTTCAAAATAGAAAATACATTTTTTTTAAAATTCTCTTTTACCTCCAGAATACTTAGATAGGTAGACACATTTTGAGTCTAGTATCTAGGAAATGATCACTGTTGTTATGCTTTATCATGGGCTGATCCAGCATGGACCAACTCCAGCAGTTTTGCACTACATAACTCTATTTTGCTGTAATGATTCAGCAAGTCTAGATCATCAGAATCTTTCTAAGACTCTCCCAATTCTCAAAGGCCAAGCATTAGGGCAGCCTGTTAAGCATGTTGATAAGAAGTAGTCAAGTTGCCTTCCAAAACAGTTTCTTCAAAATAAAATTAATACAAACTAAGATTTCCTGTAAAACATTTTTGTTTCAATGAACTGACACTTCTCTTTAGTCAGAAAAACCCAGCCAGCTCTAACCTTAACACTTTTTTGAAAGATTTTTTTTAATCATCTTTTCTTGCTTGACAGCAGCCTAAGTCCTAAATCTACAACTCATGAAATCACACCTTGTTTCCCATCCAGACAATTTAAGAAATTGAATTCTTGTTTGTTTTGGAGAACTCATTACCTCAGATAAAGCAACTTATTATCCACATCTTAACCATACCCATATAGATGAGAACTGAAAACGCCAGTGAGAAAAACATGATGATTTCAGAAACCACCTTTTGAAAACTTTTTAAAAATAAAGCAAGCTTGATATGCTTAGTAGTTTCTATGAAGTATGAAGTTTAATGACAAGTCAGTCATTTGAAGAACGTCTTTAGGAAGACTTCCAAAAATCCTTGTTTTTGTTTTGGTAAAATTAGGTTTTAATTCTGCTTCTTCCAATAAACAATATTATTTAATGGGAAAATTGATACATCAGGCAAAGAGAAGTTAAATAACTCATTGACGAATTGCAACCCAGATCACACTCAGAAGAAGAAGGAAAGAAATGCATCTGGAAGCATGCTAATAGAACCATTCTGGTGTGAGATCATAGCATTTTCTGTAATGTAGGTGAAGAGTTAGTATATTTTTGGCTGAAAAAGATAAAAGGTAGGCCTAAGTGCTACTATGTCCACTGTTTCCAGAAAGGTTTTGGCATAGATGGTTTTAGCTCTGCAGATAAGGAAATGCAGAGGCTACCTTCAAGTTCTAAACTACTAGAAAGGCTGCCTGCATGTTCATTTGCCTTACAGATGATTCTGGATGGCAACTGCGAAGATGACCCAAAATTTAAGACTCTGTGGCTAGAAGAAACTTATTAGATCATCTAGTGATAAAGTCCTATTTAGGAGTCCATGGATAACAAGCCTTCGATCTCAGTTTTTGTCTTGGTGCCAGCATGAGGGAAACACACAGATATCTGAATATATCCATGACCTTTAGCCTGAAAGGGAAATTTAGGTTCCCACAAAGATTTTTGAAATCCTCATTTTCATTAGCTGATGCATGCCTGATGCATGAGAACGTGATGCTTTGATAGCTGGCTCTGCTTTCATGTACTGAAATTTGTGCTGCATGGCTTTTACAGATTATTGGAAGTCTGTTTTATTTGTAATATGCTAGAGAGAAATTCTCAGCTAATTATATAAAATAGGAAAGGTTAAAATTCTCCATGGGGTCCATTCTGATACACATTTATTAGACAGCATGGCCATGGAATAAACAAGTAGAAGTATCCATCTCCAGGTGGATGGTGAGAAGAAACAGCTGGCTAATAAACTTTGACAGAGCTAGGGCTCTACAGGGAAGTAGGACAGCCAAAAAGAAGGCAACTGTCCAATAAAACCATTAGTGAATGTAATCTGTCTTGTCAGGTGAGTATAAATACCCACGTGAACACTACAAACTGGGTATAAGCAAGATCTTATATATAGTGAGGGGAGCTATTCTTCACAGCTACTCATGCTCTGAAGTGCAGCATGCTCAGTTTCAGATGACACTACTTTCTAGAGCGCTAACAAAATTTCACCTACCCCTTTACGCTGGTTACCCTGAAAAATGAGAACATAGTGTCTGAGGGTAACAATGAAAAAGAGTAGATTGTTGAGACTGAGGGAAAGCGTCTTCAGAAATCTTGAGAGAGATGGGAAATTCTAGAGGACTGTCAGATTAAGGAAGGTTTCCTTCCTCCTGCACACACAGGCAGATTTCTAGCACTTGGGAGTTACACTCTCATAATTTTGTCAAGGCACAAAGAGCAAGTGCAAAGGTTCTGTAATACCCAGAGGTGAAAGCCCCATGGGTGCTCAAGTAGTGCCAGATTCACAAAGAGATGAGGAGCTTACTTCTAAGCCTGGCTGTAAGGTGTAGGCATAAGCAAGTCTGAAATTAGATTTTGGTCATGCTAGAGAAACAAATAATATTTCAAAACTTAAACAAATATTAACATTTAACCAAGAAATATAAAAGATGCATAAAGCTGGCAAACACCCTGATGCCTTTTTTCATCTTAGCTTCCCTAAAAGGAAGATGGAAGAGAGAAAATGAGAAAAACAATAAGAAAAATGAGAATTAGAGAGGTTCCAGAAAGTTATTTCAGTAACGCAGGGAAAACGAGTAATGTGCACCCAATTTAACCAATCAGTGGAGAGAAACTGCGGATTACATGGCATACCATTCTACGTTAGGGATACATGGCATATGAGAATAGTCTAAGCCAGAATATTTCTCATCAGAATTTTTCTGAGCACTTAGGATCAAACACCCACAAGGGGAATTAGACATAAGCAAGTGATTGTAGAAAAACTGCAAACAACCAAAGAATGCCAGTCAGCAGCACTGCACTAAAGCTCAACATGGCAAGGATTATTCTAATGTAGAATAGGGTGCTTACGGTAGATGTGAAAAAGCCTGAACACCACAGCTGACATGTAGGTGTTTAATTAGACATGTCTCTCTTATGCCAAAACACAAGTTTTCACAGTCCACTACATTGTGAGTGCTCTCTTAGCCCAAGTTTAAGGCGGCCTTTTTTAGTAATTAATTTGTAAAATGTATTTGAATAATTAAAACTGAGCGTATAGTTGAATGGTTTACCACAGTCCACACAAAGATGCATTCAATTAAATGTTTTCATATTTTAAGAGCTGAAAAATGCTGGGTTTATTTTCTGATCAGAGGAGGGTTTCACTTTTATCCGTATGATGGTTTCAGTGGCCTTTCAAATGTAATGGAAACAAAAAGCTCTTGGTAAAAGCAGACGCTATTTTCACTGTGGTTTTGTGAAGCAATTGCTTCCAGTTGGTGAATGTGTTTATTGAAAGGCTGAGAGAAATCCCTCATTATGGCTGCACAACTGTAACCTAAAGTCCAATTCCTAACATAAAATGAAAGTTCCATAATCACCTATATAAGTTTACAAAAATATTATTTCTTGGAAAACCAAGAAGACTCCTCAGCAAATCACATTTTCCTTGACTCAAATTAATTGGCTGATTTTGCTGGGCTACTTAATAACAATACTTGCAAGTTTCTCCCTGCACTGCTCTGTTTTCACAGCAAGTAAAAAAGCATGGAGACCTCCCTCCATTTTGAAATTTGAATCATAGAATATTCTTGACAATGTAATCTCATCTCGAGCCTTGCTGAAAATACCCCACCATGTAGTAACAGCTGCTGAGAAAGGCAGAATTGCATGCAAGAAATTATTGGGTTAAGTAGTGTATGAAGTAAAAAAAAAAAAAAAAAAAGAATTCCCCCTATGGTTCTCAAATATCCTCTTTTATTTGCTTACTTTACCTGCTGTCTTCCCTGTAGGTCCATAATAGCTCAGGGACAGCTGGATTCCATTTTCCAAGGTGGCTGAAAAAGATCCAAACTTGCTCACAGCTTTCTTTTGATTTTTCAATTTTCCTTTAAAAAAAAAATTGAATGAATTTTAAAGATAGGAACATATACCAGAACCACCTGAACAGCAAACCAATGACTGGTGAGAATAGTGGCACCTCAGTGTGGATGACTAACCTGTAAAATAGATTAATATAGGACTGGGAAAACTTTATCATTCCATTCATAGGGTAGTTATAATAGTCACTTTTGTGTAACGTAGCTGTGATTTTTCATCTAGAAATTGCATTCTAATTAGATAGGTGTGTAAAAACAGGTTTAATAGCAACAACTAGTGAAAAGTCTTTGTGAATTTAAACAGCAAAAGAACCTAGTTCTCAAGTCAAGGACCCTTGTTTCTGTTCCCTACTTGGCTGACAAGAATGCTGAACTACTCACTCCTATCACGTGTGGCCTATGCACTAATCAAGTCGCTGTCTCTCAGCTACTGTCACAGGGACCATACCTCAAGGAGAAAGTAAAAGGAAGGAGAAAAAATTGAGAAATTAGATCCAAAGATATGTCTGGCGCTTGTGAAAGTGGATCAGGAGACAAGCTCACTTCGAGGTGCAGGACAAGATGTCATGTGATGAGTATGTCATCCTTGAAAACCACAGGAACTATGCAAGGCAACACCTCCAAGACAGTGACACCGGATACTGCCTTGCATCTAATTCAACTCCTACTGCCTTAAAGAAATATTCTGCTGGTTAGAGGAAATCCTTGGGATTTCCAGTATGGGGAACAGCTTCTTAAAACTGTGAGGAGCAGCACAGAAGACAAGAAAAGAAGGTTAAGGCAGGCACCCAACACCCAGCCATCTCCCAGTTCTTTCATCAGCAAGGCACACATTTGAGACCTCGTCTCCTGTTATTTACTGTCTGTCATTGCAATGTTCCTTGGTGACTACCATGTGCAGGATGCTGTTTTGCCATTTTGACTGCATTAAAAGCTTACTGTCCTATCATTCAGCCACTGCCAAGTGGATTGATTCTTCTCTTCCCTACTGCCTTTCTATAAGGTACTCCTGCTTACACAGGAGGAAAGCCTCCCACTCGTGCCAAGCAAATACAACATGCCTCAGCTGCTAGCACACTGGTGATTAACATTATCATTTGGCAGACCCCAGAATGATACAGGTCTACTTTCAGAAGGGCAGACAAGAAACATCTCATCTGTGGAAGGGATGCAAATTTTCTATTCAGACAACCTACAGTTACATCACTGGTGGCAGCTGAAGCCAAGGAGAGGAGCAAGAGCAGGATGCTTTTCAATAGTGATGAAGATTAAAAGAGCTAACACACCTACCAAAAGTTATACTTATCCAATACTCTTCGGTTCAGTGAGAGCAATTCCATAGTGCTTTTGCCGAACATGCATGCAAATTGTTACAGACTGGCTTTCTTCCTGGAAACGCTCTTGCCTGGGTTCAGAAAGGATTTGGATTCCATGCCTTCTGAGTGTTAGTAACATGTCAACCAGCAGTAGAAGTTGCTGAACTGCAGAAAGATCTGTTTCCACAGCAAAGGTCTTGAGGAGGCACTAATGCTATGGTTATCTGACCCACAAAAGGAGGTCCAGTTCAAAGGAGGAAATCTTCCCTTTCAAGGGCAGACATTTATTCTGGTCAGAGTGGACACGATTCAGTTTGCATCTTCTTAGGCTTTCCCAGGCCACATTAAGATCTGAGGGGGCCCTCCAATAAAGACTCTTTTCTTAAGGAATGGTGATTCTTTTCATTGATTTCCTTGCTTTGGAAAAGAGACTGGTTTACACCTGTTGACCTGTACTGTACTTCTACATCTTGGTAAGCTACATAGTGCTTAAGTCAGACAACTGGATTTTTACTTCTATTTACAGAACACTGATCTTATTTACCCTCTGCCGTTAGTAGGAACTTATTTTCTGTTAGTTGATAAGGTTTGCATCCAATTACTAAATATGTCACACTAGTAATTCTTTATATTAGTGATGTCAGCCCACTAACCTGATCTAGTTTTCTGTTCTTCATTAATTTCTTGCACTTCGATTTCTTTTAAGTTCTTCTTGGGGTCTGTGATATGAATGAAGAAATTGTGGTTGTCTTTTATCACTTTCACCTTTACCAAAGTTAGACCTGCAAAGCAACGGAATACTATTATTACTCCCACTAGGCTTCAGAACTGCCCTGCACCCAAAGAAACCCCTGCACCTACAGCTATAAAGCACACAAAAAAGAAAATTGCTCAGAAGTGGACTGAATTGCTTAGTAGTAGATCAAGAAGACAAAATTGTTAGCTGAGTTTAGACTAAATATTCAAAAACTTCCTGACAATTGGATCTGAGAGGCTGCAGAATAACCCTGTTGCTTAGATATTTTGCATTTGACTGGACAAATTATTGGAACATGCATTCTTGAAATATCATGCATTGGTTGCCATTTAACAGATAAATATAAACTGATTTTTCTCCATTTCTAATTTTCTGGTACTTTATTTATCTATCAGTTGTTAACACACTACATGAAAATGTAAACATTAGAAGTGATAGAGGCTAATATGGAATTACATAGTACACTTACAATGTCTTTAACTGAATTTCTACCACTGAGACATGAAAAGGCATTTATGGATTAAGAAACTATGCCATCAGTTAGTAACTGGGTCAAAACAAAGTCTAAAGAATTAAAGAATCACCTTTTACAAACTCTATCTTCTCTACTTGAATCTGTCCTCCATCACATGGGAAAAGATATTGACTAGTTCCTGATACTTGAATGACATCCTCCCCTGTATTGTAGCCAAGAAACTGGAAAAATAAGTTTTAGGTTATGCATAAATGAGAAAGGCAGAAGCCATGAAAGAGGTAAATGAAGGACAGATCACCAGGATCCCACTGTTCTGGTCAACATTTTTTGCTTAGATATTTAACTAATGTAGTAACAACTTTAGCAAATGTATAGCATGCTATTGTCATATCCAAATAATTTCTCAGTTACTAACTGAAGTAACTTGTTACACATGAGAGCAGAATCTGGTCCTTCAGTGGTATGAAGCCATTACTGAAACTGAAGAGTAGCAAGTAGACTGGTGGCTTAACATATAATGGCAGGGAAAGAAAAATTCTGGCCAAGTACAAAGAGACAAAGTACAACGTCATGGGATCAGATAAAGGACAGATAAAGATTCAGCTTTCCGCCCTCTAGATTTTGGAATTCAGACACTGTAAATCTGATTCTTAGATTGCTGTGCCTTCCGAAGAGCCACAAATTCGCAAAAATTAGGTGATTATACTCAAGTAAGTTCAGACTGAAATGCTATATATCTCTGAGTTTGAAGTCTGTACCCAAGCAAGTTTAGACAAAAATATATTGACCTACGCAAGTTTTGGATGCAAGGTTTAGACTGCAAATGCAAAGCAGTGCAAACTGCCTAAAAACTGTTTAGACAAAACTAGTGAAGAGTTCCCTCTGTAAGAAATACCCCTCTGTTAGTGTAACAGGCAGAATAACTTCTATTAGGGCACTCCAAGAATATGTATTTTGAAACGGGAAATGGAAGAAACAGTGAACTCCTTTTACTTGATTTCCAATGTGAGCAGCCAAAACTTCAACTAGGTCTAGTAGTCCCTGAATACGGGAGTTGGAACAGGTCTTTGTGTTCCCCTTTCCTACCCTCTCCCTTGAAAATCACATTTTTAGGCAAAATTCAGCCCATAAACATATTTTCCATGGGCACAAAAACATGATCAACTTATCTTTGTGTTCATGTCATATATACTAAACCCATCCAAGTTAATTAAATAGTCTTGCGTAGGATAATCTTAAACATCAGAAACTGCTTTCCAAAACTTTTAGGAACAGATCTGCTGCTAAAATGATAGAGTTAAACAAGATATAGTTAGGCTTAATTTGCCTTGAACTCCCAATTTCACAATGGATAATAGCTTTGCTGTAATCTTGACTCTATAGATAAATAGTTAGCACTTTCCTAATGTGGTGCAATAATACGACTCCTTACCTTATAAACTTTCTCAGAATGTGGTTCTGGAATGCTGGGATCCTCCTCAAGTTCAGGGGCTTTTGCTGGCTCATCTTCAAACTTCTCTTCGGAAGATTTCTTGTTGGAACCTTTACTTTCTTCGTGTATTATCTCCTGTCCTTTCTTTTTACCTCCTGAATTTTCTTTTTTTCCTTTTTTGTCTTCCTTAAGTTGTTCTTCCTCTAGTAATCGGACCTGCTCCTCCTTCCAAGCCTACATTAAACATTAGGAATTCAAAAGACTGTAGTTCTCTGTATTACAAGATATTTCATATATGTATGCTGAAAAGAGTACAAGTAAACAAACTCAAAGGAACCAATGTTCTAAGTCACTCTAAGATATGCTTTCCAAACTTGTCTACAGTTTTACAATATTGCACACTATATTTTGCATAAAATTACTGACTCATTCAATCCACAGGATCAGTCACTCTTGACCGCAGTAGACATATCACATGATTATTTGTATCTTACACATTCAGTCATAACAGGATTATTTTGTTGCGCACTCTTCCACAATGTTTATCACCAAATCAGAATGCATCACTGGTATTAATTTATTCCCCAAATGCAACTGTGAGATAAAATGATTGTATTCTTTTACAGAAAAAGGAATGAGGTATCAATGCCAGAATTATCAACTTGTATCAGGAAGACATCCGAGATTTTCCGGAGTATTCAGGGCTTTGTAGCACTTTATGTTCTAAGCATACCAAAGCACAAGCACTTCTCTGGAAGAAATGGTAAGCATGCACAGTTACAAGTTAGACATTAGCCTAACTTGAGCCGTGCCAGCTCAAGCTGAGTACCCAGGAATTGGTTAACACCATTTCATATCTACATTTCAGTATCAGTGCTTTAAGTGCAGAGCTTTACACAGTACAAGAAAGATGAGACATACTATGTCTGTGAGAAGTCAAAAAAAGCAGGGGAGTACAACATCAATTAAGTTAGATTTGTGCAGATTAATTGGTAGTGCCAATGGTAAGACTTAAAAACCATGTGCTTAACTCCTACCTCAGCCAGAAACTTACTGTGTGAACCTAGGCAGGTCAATTCATCTGTAGTGCATGACCATGGTCCGCATCTATGAAATGGGACTCTCTGTCATAAGGAACTCTGAGGTACCATACTTAGATTCCTTAATTTCAAAGAGCTGTAGATAGTGAAAGTAGGAGTTGGGTACATAAGCACTTCCATGAATCTGGATCTTATGTTTTCATAGCTTTATAATGAGAAAACTTCAACGAGAAGTAGGATATTATCCATAACTCTCATTTCCTAGTACTGCAATTATAAATTGCTTTTGGAATGTCTAGTCTAACTCCAAACAGTCTTCCCTTAAGAAAATAACATAACTGAATCAATAAAGAATAAATTAAAGAAAACAAGAAATAAAGTATACAAAAAATAGCCAAGAGCAGAAAAACTAAGAGGACTGAGTCAAGCCTATGTAGAATGAAGGCTTACCTTCCTGGGAAAGTGGTGTTAATTAGTCCATTTCAGAAACATACATATTTTGCCTTACCTTTAGAGAACCTTCTCTGACAAAAGGACTTTTTTCATTGTTGGACTGAGATTCTGGAATGGTCTCCGTTACGCTCTCAGGTCCTGATGTGCTGCCTTTGAGAAATGAAAGAGGAATAAATGAGGTTATAAATATATGAGAATTGAATAATTTTAAAAAATGGAAAAATAAAAATAATAGAAACGCAAGTAAATAGAAAAATATATATTTGAAAGTAGTAGAAGTAAAAAAGTAGAATAAAGAAAATGTTAAAGTTTTTTAGAGATAAAATACAAAGTCTGTTCAGGTTAGACTGACAACTAGGATTACCTGATAGTCATAACTGGGGAACAAATATGCTAAACAATATATCAACATATTTAAAGACTGACACTCTGCTTCTTGCTGTTGAAGGCTTTGCTCCTGCCACAAGTTTTTTTTTATGCAGATGAGCAATGCTGAATAAACAATAAACAGTATTTATTATTTTTGCTACTATCACTGTTCCAGAATTCAGATCCAGCGCTTTAACCAGTTCAATACCGGAGTCATAGATATTAGAAACTTTCAAGACAAAAAATGTGAATAAATGCTGTCTGATCCTTCGAACCTTCACTAAAGAAACACTTACCATATCCCCTGTTTAATATTAGGGCTTTATAGCATCTATGACTCATGAAAAGGGTCTCTCTCTAGGTGTGTGGTTTTATATCATACTTGGATACCCAATATTTACCTGCCAGAAAAGATGAATTCAAGTACACTACCAGAAAGTTCTAGTTAAATTACTTTGTATTAAAAAGTAGAAATTGCAGTGTGGGTTACAGCAGTGCCAGTGAAATTGAAATCACCTCAAGACACTGTTTCCCACCTGCACATCCCACCTAGAGGTTAACTTCTATCAGCAAGTGAACTTCTCCATGAATCCTATTTGTCATGAGGCACCACATGGGCAAGATTCTATCTAGCTCCTGTGACAGCTACATAGGTACAAATTATGATTTAGAAGTCATAACTGTCCTTTTGGTTTCCAAACTATAATCAGATGTGTTAATTGGGTTGAGGACTAACATTCCTATTTTTGTAAGTGCTAACTGCTAGTACTAGAAGGCTTCAAAGTGCATTCTCAAAGAAGGTGAACAAAGCAAAGGCTAAATACCAATAAATCATTGTTAATACCATTTAAATACAAAAATTGACAATTTGGACAAAAGTTCTCTTTTGTCAAAAGGGGTTTTCAGATTTTGCTGCCTGCTCAACAGTTACTGTATGAACTGCTTACAATTCTCACTACCCAAAATGTTGCTTATAATTAAAGTTTGCTCTACAGTCTACTCAATTCCAGTTTCCAGTTTTAGCTTCTAGCCCACAGCTTCTGTCTTCCAGCCTTTATCCTGACTTTTTAAAAAGGAATTTTCCTGAACCGTGTTGCCAACTTTAACTACTGCTCATCTCTTCATATGTTCAGTCATCTAAACAGAGATTCGTATTTGTATGTAATCCTTAAAACACAGCTATTGTAAATGTAAACTGACATTAAATGTCTCAGTTTTCAGAGCAGAAGATGATGCAGAATATTTAAATATGTGCGTTTAATTAATTTCAAAACATATTTATGTCTATACAGATAACAAAACAAGGTTACCCTATAAAAAACATATGCGCAATTCTGCTCTGAACAGGCTTGGGTCTCAACACTCAACATGAAAAATGAATTTTCTAGGATAAAACAAAAAGATACCCACTTTCAGCTTTCTTAGGGAAGCCAGTTTTTTTCACAGCACATGCAGACAATTCAGAAGGTCCTTCTGCCATGGCTTTTTTCAGTTTAAGAAACTCTATTTCCTTAGCCATCTTCTCTTCTTGGTATTTGACTTCTTCCTCTTTCACCCAGTCTTCAATTGAGTTGGCCACCAGCTCGAGATAGTTCCTGAAAAGCACAACATTCCTTTATTTACCATAATACAGTTTTCACTAATATGATTTCAGGTCAAACAAGATCACTTGGCTTCTCAGTTTCTTATACAAATATTATTCTATAACCTCTGAGAGAAGGCTTGCGTTTGAGAGGGTTTCTCTCAGTTTTTACAGGAGCTGGTGCTTTTGCCTGGCTGGTATTTGTTTAATGTATCTTACATTTCGGATTTTGGTTATCCTTTCTGCAAAGAGATATTAGAAACTTGTCTTCCAGAGAACATCTGCTCCTAGAGAAAATCCAGAAAGTCAGAAAACAGAGACATTCAGTTTAAGAAAGTTTCAGGTTCATTCTCCTCCTTACTGTGTTACCACCAGGATAACTTATTTTCTGAGTTGCCATTGATTGATATTGTCTTTTAGAATACACTTCATTTGTTCGTTCAGCAACTGAGGTGTTATTTTATTTAATTTCTAGCTCTTCTTTATCGGTGTGACAAGAAAGGTGTTTGGAAATTGTCATCCAAATCCAGATTAGAGAATCAGTGCAATGTAGCCTGGCATACATTAAGAATATTTACAATTAACAATTAAGTTGAAGTGAGCACTGAATGACAAACTGATCCAGAGTTTGCAGCTGGTATCTGTAGTTGCATTGTCTCATCTTCCAAAAGTGTCTGAAGTGACTGCTAAAATAGTTCATTGTGAACAACTGCTTCCAAGGTAGGACAAAGCCTGGATGTCTTATATGCAGTTGCCATTCAACCCCTTGTTTGGAGTGTTACAATAATTCTTTAAACTAAACTTCTTCATGTGTACAAAACTACAAGGGGCTTTTAAAGAATGCATGAGATTCAGTTGTTGTGTCTTCATAATGTTTTGCAATTATAAGTTCAAGATGATTCAATTGTATTCAAAAGCTCTGTATGCATTACAGTTTTTGGTTGTGAACATGTAGACAGCACAACCGATTGTTGACCTCATGACAGTTTTAAAGTTCTTATTGCAGCATTACATTATACATCCCAGAGAATTAATATGTAGGCTATTTACACAGATTGGAGATATATACAGTTCAGGTACAGCTTCCAGATACAAAAGTCCCTCCCAGCTTCTGCAGTGTAGGTGGAGCCTGCTTTGGGAAACTTGCATGGAGAAACTGTTGATCATATACCCAGTGGGGACAAGGTGACTCTGCTTGTATCTGAAGAAAAGTGTACAAGCTATAAAAACAAAGGTGTTGAAAACAAAAGGCAAAACTAGGCTAGAACCTAGTTGCCAGCACTGGAATAACTTGAAGACAAATATACATTATAAATAAAAAAGAGATTATTCGCATGGAAAATATTTTAGGGCAATGAAACAGTCATTCAAAGTCAAAAATACCCATTCTATTAATATGTATTCTGATGTCACTACTGCCAATGTCTGACTCAGAATCATTTCTCAGAAAGGATTATTCTTTTCCAGTAACTTGTGTAATGTGTTTACTACGAAACACTAAACAAATGTCATTAAGATTAACTTTGAGCAAAAGAATAGTTTTGAAAATGTCTGAATTCATTTGGCTTCCTGATAAGAGTGGCCACTTATCCTAACCAGAGTTGAAATATTTTATATACATGTATCACCGCAGGTACATGTGCCCATGCCTCTGGATCCACTTAGTGTCATCCACTGGATTTCACATGCAACCTCCTCCTGCCCACCCTTTGAACAGTACAATTCCTGAATTTTTGGGTGTTCTACATGAACTATGGGACCTGATCTCCATAGAGAAGATGGAGGGGTAACTGGGATCTCCAGGAGCAAAAGCTGCTGCAACGTAAGAAACTGCATTTCCCCCTTGCATGAGAATTTGCTGTAACAGGACCCACTGTAACCAACTGATTAGCATGTAACAGAAGTATATTGCAGACAGCAACTATGGAACAACCCTACAAAGCAGGTCTGTGGTCTAGAAGATGTCACAATAAAGAAGTAACAAGTTAACACAGGTAGAGAACTCCTAACAGAGAGATAGTCACGCACAGCGTCTGTTGTGTATTTGTAATTCTCTTGTGGTGAAAGTGTGACTCTTAAATATATCCCCCAAATTAGAATGATAGTAGTTTTAATAAAAGGAAAAATTGTTACTAAACTCATCAGGAGCCAGTTATTTCATACAAAGGTAAAAACTAGTAATAGTACTGCTTAATTAATAAGTAGGGTTTGTGCCTGTTTCTGGTAACTCAGCAGGATCTGGAAGCTAAATTGCAGACAACAGCTTGAAGCACTCCAGGTATTTAAAGACTGTCTTCCACAGAGGTGTTATGTTGCTTGGACACATACACTAGTAAGTATTTATGATACTTTGTCTGGAAATCTGAAATGATCTTTAGCAAAAAGGTTGAATAAGGTCAGAAAACATGCTGATTATTTTGCAGAGAAAAGACAGGTATTGATAGCACATAACAGATACCAAATGAGAGCCCATAGCTCTTCAAAGATGCTAAGCAGCATATATAGCAGTGACACTGAATATTTCTATGAAACAAGAGCAAAGCCAAACTTTCTTGTTAGCCTTTGTACCAGTTTCTTTTAGGAACTCCTTGCTGCTTTGAAACAGAACCTGATGAATTGTCACTGAACAAACATGGTGTGCCCCAAGCAGAAGCTATCTTTAATGTCTAAGCCTTGTTTCCAGCATATGTGGAAGAGTAAGAAGGAGGAAGCATATAGCTATTGCATCTTCAACTCAATTATAACGCATCTACCAGAGAACATGCTTCATTCCTTGTTTGGATGCAAAATTAGCAACATTTGTTTGCATTGAGAGGTCTTCCCATTTCTCAACTGGCATTGCATTGACTATTTCAATGCCCTTTCAAGGTGACCAGCCAATTTGTTCTACACCAGGCAGCTAAACTGGCACCAGGTGTTTATGTTTAAGCAACTTCAATCAGGCCCTTAATGTCCAGTGTCCTGCAGAAGAGTAAGAACAGCCTGCAAAGTAAACAGTTCTGGGCTGCAACAGACTTTGTGTAACAGACTTTGAGACCACTGACCCTCTGCCTGGTTGTATCTGAATGCAAGACCCAGATTTACTTGAACACACCATCTTTCACTATCTTTTGGGGAAGATTTCAGCTGTTATATACATATAAAAAAATTGATTGACCAGGCATTTAGTGGGTTTGCCCAACAACCACAAACCAGCCAGCATTTTCTCCAAGGAACTTTGTGTTTCTGCTGGTAAATCTCTTCTGGCTCTGGTCCCAGTCACTGCTAATCACAACAGCCTCTTTTCATGGCAAATAATTTAAGTCTAAGTGCCTGGAAAGCTGAGATGGACTCACACAGAGTTCCCTGACTGAGAGCAAAGATATGAAATACAGTACAAATATGTCTTCAGGAAGGCACACTTTGCCTATTTAGTATTCAAAGTTGTTCAAATATATAGGTATCAACAAAAGTTTCCATTAAAAGATTCCTATATTCTGATAAATGAGGTACTGCACTTAGGAAGGGATGCCTGCAGACAAATTGGGGGTGGGTGGGGGGTGTCCACTAGATAATTTGCTTGAAATTCTATTTGATAAATCAAATCTAATTAATCCATAGAGCACCAGAGTAACATGGCTAAAGATAGCTCAGCTATCTCTCTGTGGCATTGTAACTTCTTTACATATCATCACATGGACACATATTCTATTTTCAGTCAATTATTTGGAATAGCAGTTGGATCCACATCATCATTTATATTGCTGTTTCAGTGCAAAAATGTATTCCAAAATGAATAGGTCCACTGACAAAAGCTCTAATAGTGGACACATCAACCACCTGCATACCTCTAACTGGTGAGCAGATAGTGTCAAGGAGTTAAGAAGAATGTGGTATTCTGTGAAAAAATTATTCTAGTATTTTCCCAGTGACACTCACCCAATTTATGTATACATAGTTGAAAAACCTGATAAGTACATTCTTAGACAGAATTTACCTTTTAAACTCCCTCACCTGAATTGTTCTCAGCGTAATTTTCTTGCTGTGGATATCCCTAATATGACTTTTCGTGTATGTGTGCATTCTATATATTTTTATAGTTTGTGATAAGGAGTCACATACAGTTACTGCATAGTTCTCCTCACTCAGGAAAGCTTTGTCTCGGTAGAATTCTTCTCACATAGCACTGTTTTCCACCTGCATGACTTGCGTTCTCATCAATGTGTTACACCGTGATAGCTTTTAATTTCAAAGCTTTGCCCCAAGCATAGCCATGCAGGCTTTAATTGAAAATGACTGTGAATGAGACATGAAAGATAAAATCAATTACCTGAATCCAACATTAGAGTGCAATGCAATATCCCAAGTCTTTTGGCACAAACGATACTGATTCATAGGATTGTGAAGAATGATTAGCAAAGACTTATCTTGGGCATGATAAAAGGAATCAATACATCTATATTCTTGGGATGCAGTATGAAGAACCTGAAAAGGAAAGAAATAAAGGTACGTCCTCCCTGCAGACAGTAGCATATGTACAGATGTTACACGGCACAGCTTTTAGCAAAAGGTGCTTCAGAACTTCTCTTTCCTACAAGATGTATGCAAAGCATTTGGATTCCAGCAATCTGAAGTGTTTGGGCAGGTGGAAATTGAAACTCCACCGCTATTCATATTAAGAGGCGGCAGTTACTATGCTCCACTTTCTGAGATTGACCATGAATGGAAAAGTTTGGCTAGATAATACACAAATAAATTTAAATATTAAATAAACAAATTTAAATAATACAGTTTTTAAATTAATAAATAGTAAATAAAAGCAGAACTATCGTATACCAGGTAAAAAGAAAACAAATTTACTTTTTTTTGGGCTCAGTTAAGTTTACTTGGTATTTGATTTGCTATACTACAACCTGTACATCTCTGAGATTTACTGTGTTCTACATTATTCCACTCTGTTCTGTACTGCCCCATCTTTTTTAATGTTTACATTGTCTGCAGGCTGAAACTTATTTTAGTTATAGCTAGAAGAAAGGCTTCTTTTAAACTATTATTTTTACAAAACTATGCAACTGAAGTAAAACAGAAATAATTCCATATCAACAAATATTCTCTTTAAAAATGAAAACCTTAATAGCAGCTGGTGTAGAAATTATGTTCAGATGTGATAAATAGTATAAGAAATATTCTTACAAAATGTAATTTTCCATTGCAATAAAAAGTTATTTTCTGTTAGAGTTATTTTCCATCAGTATCTTTTGACTAGATTCACTAATCACTGACAGTTCAGTTAGTATTAGCTATTTATGTTGCATAAGAAGGAATTCCCCATGTACTGAAATGTATGACCAGACTTTAAAGTTGTGATACTAACATGGTGTTGAAAAACTCCAAGCAGCCTTTCCTTCACTCATGCATAGCATGTGTCAGGATCAAATAAGAATTGCAGCATATAAAGCTCAAGGCAGCACAGGAACTAATAATCCACTCCTCCCAAGAGAATGCCTACCAATTTAAACCATCTACACTTGAACTTATCTTTCACATTTGTCATTCTGTCTTTCTGCAAGGTAAGTTTTAGTCTTTAGCTTGCAAGATTTCTATAAATGAAGCTTGTAGCCCTGAAAAGGTGAATTACCATTACAACAAAATTTTCTATTTGCCCATAAAATATATACTGTATAGGTATTTGCAAAGTATACTTTCACATACCTGCACTAATGAGTCCCATAACTGCCACAGAGGATCAACCCTAAGGGCAAGATCATTTTGTCTCCATCACACTTTTAGCCAAAAGACTCACTACCAAAAAGGACAGCTGCAGTTTGGCCAAACTAGGAAGTAAAAACCCATTACAAACTAAATTTCACACAAGAAACTGAAAAGTAGCTAAAGAACAATGGGTTTTGGTAAAAACGTAAAAGGGATAAAGCTGAATCAATTATCTAGCAAGGAAACACCCTGTACTCTGCTACTAATACTTTGTACAGCATTCTGAGGGGTGACTGTACGTGTAAGACTGTCAGTTCACAGATACCTGAAGAAGAACATGGGGTTGAAAATGCTCAGCGAAACTCCAGTCTGTCAAACAACGTCTCTGTGTCTTTTTTATTTCTTCTAAGCTTGGTCCTAGGCCACAATTTTCTGGACTCACCTCAAGATACACCAAAACAAAATAATGAGTATCAACATTTCAGTATCAGTTGTATTAAATTAACTGTAATCTTGTTGACTTAATAGACAGCATCCCATCTTGCATCACAGTTAACTGCATAATGCTGCACATGTGTAGACCCGTATGGCACTATTTAATAAAAAACACAATTATTCCCAAAGGTTTTTGGTCTTGGCTTTTTTATGGCAAACATAATCTAAATATTTTTATTATTAGGTTATATGTTTTTGAGTTCTGTAAGCAATTATGAATATTTAAACATGTCCTATGAAGTAATTTTAAAATTGCTATATTTATCCAGGGCTGTATGGCAGACAGGTGTTTCTGAAGATGCCAAACTACACAGTTTATTAGCATAACATAGTTTGGCAATTTCTCTCAAATTCTCATGCTAGTATTTGGTCCCCTGGTATTCAGTGAAACCAGCATAGAATTGTCATTAGTAGCTTCACCAAGTCCCATCACCCTGGAATTCAAAGAAAGTGATTTCATAGTGCTTAAAAGTTACGGTGCTATTTGCCAAACATCACAAAATTAACATTTGCATGGAGCATTGCAAAGGAATCCCCAGTAACACGTCCTGGCATTGAACGGTATCTTCTGTTGTCTCATGCTATAGAGCACAGTTTATTCCATTCCTTACACTTGCCATATCAGAAATAAGAAGATCTAATTCTTTGTTCAAAACAGGATCAGTCAGATCATCTCTTCCACCTTTGCCATTTGTTTCTGTATGTCCTGGAAATTGAAAGCAGAATTTTAAGAAGTGTTCCAGACGTTTCATCCCTAAACACTAAGGTCAGAGTGATGCAATTTCCTTAGCCCCCCCCCACCCCCGATGAGATTACCATCAAGTTGGAAGCTTCCTTTTATGATACCAGTCCTATAAATACATGATCAGCTCTGCTACATTTCTTTCCCCAAAGAGCACTTTAAAATCCAGGGACAAGAAGTGCCAGACTGCCAGACAGTTAAATAAAACAAACAAACAAACAAACAAAAAACCCCCCACTTTATAAGACCTACTCAAATCATCCTCTTTATCTGTCCTATGCTGTTCTTGCATGGTCAAAACCATAAGAAATACTCTTAAGAAGTGTCCTCCAGATTCACACACGAAGAACCATTTTTCTGCATACTGAGAAGCAATAACAAGCATTCCCTTGCACAGATGACATAAAAAAAAGGCGGCAAAATCAATTGGTTTGATATTTTCACACATTTTTGAAAAATGCAAATTTTAAACTTTAAATTCATTGGATTTATAGAGTTCTATAAGCTACTGACAGAGTATTACTTCTCCTGAGGATCTGACCAGTCATTCCATTGTTACAATGGGCACCTGATACGAACAGGATCACATGGAAACTTTAACTTCTATATTTTCATGATTTTCTGAAATAAATTCTTTATGCCCTGAGTTAGGGCAGAGATCACTGATATCTGATCAAAATTCATGCGTACAAGAAAAATACTCTTCCTGGGAGAAAATACTCCAGAAAGTATTTGTTCATAAGTGGCTTGTAACCAGCTCAGCTTCCAGACAGATATCTTTAGGCTCTGCTTCTCTAGGAAATTAGACCTGTTTACTGACTGCCTTTAGAAGATTTAAGAAATCTGAAAGCAAATGTTTTCTCTTCCTGGTATTTGCTTTTGTGCTATGAAAGTGTTAAAATGTTGGCAGCTATGTTTGTAACTGCAATATTTAGTATTGTGACAACTATACAAGTAGAATAAACTAACACCCAAAACAGGTTCCCAAAATTCAGGAGAGAGGCACATAAGCAGGATACAATTTTGTCTGCTCCAACCTCCTAAGGAAAGGATCCCATCTAAGCTGGTTGCCTGGACTTCTATATTAGGAAAGCACGGGCAACATCACGAACCTAAAGGTATAGCTGCTTAAACTGACCTAATTTCTACTTTTCTTGCATCCCGGAAAAATAATCACTTGTTTTTAATGTTGATTCTTGGCCAACACTGCTCCTTTAATCAGAACAATTTTTCATTATGTTAGAATCTGTAGGAGAAAATGTAAAACTTCCAGAAAATTCACTCTGCATTGTCTACAAGAGGTCTTCTCCATCTCTTTTCCTGCTCTCTAAAATGTTCCCATTTCAATGTGAATGAGATAGTTATAATGGCTCAAATGCCACATAGTAACCTGCTAAAGATACACTAATTGCACAGACTGGAAGAGAAGTAAGAGAAGCTGATGAAGCTGAGACATAGCTCAGACATTTTTTGATTTTAACCTGAGGGTTCTCACATATTTCTGGCCAAATACAGAGAGAATCTAATGTGACTATGAAAACTGGATGTTTAAACTTCTACCTTACAACATCAGTTCTACCACATTAGCCTTATTCTGATTTATTTTCATTGGTCTCACTTTCTTCAACACCTAATAGATATGTTCCTCTTTCCCTGTTACTTCTGAATTTGGCCTAAAATTTTGAATGTCAAAACTCTACACTGGATTAACCTGTATGTGAAAGAGGAGGAAAGCCTGGAAGAAAAAAAATGTAAAAGGAAAAGGTATGTATGCATGTGTAATTACAACATATAGCACACCTTTTTTTAATTTTCAACTTTTTAATATCGCTTTCCAGAGTCCTCATGTGTAAGTTATATATTCTTCGCATTTTCTAATACTCATTCACTAGTAATCATCTAATTAACCTCATACATCACTTTTGATTTCACTCTGTGGTTGCCACTGCCTTTGTCAAGGCTGCCATCATAACTCACAAGAGCCTGTATTCAAAAAAGTATTTAAGCATGTCTTCAGTATTTTATGTCTATAAAATATATTTGATGTCATAAACAATAAAACAGTTTTCTAGTATGTACTTTTCTACAGATATAAAGAGTTCCTTAAATAAACTATTAATGTTGTCACACAAAATCGCTACCTTTTGTCCTTATCTAGGATTCCTACACACATACTCAATGTACAGACTATACAATACTTGAAAATTCAGTGATTTGTACAAGGAAGAAAAATCACAGCCCTGCAATAGCAAATGGTATGGTAAAATAAATAGTGGATTCAAATTCTTCAGGAGTAATGTAAACAGAAAGGTTTTTACCAGAACCTCTTGGAGATTTCCCATTAAGCTTCTTTTCCATAAGGAAGAGTTGTCTCAGCTGTCTTGCAAACCTGGCTGGATTATCCCAAGGGATATAAGACACTTCAGAATCACCTCCAACCATAGATCCAGAGCTCTCCAGGAGACCAGAGTCACTCAGCCCAGTCAGCCTCAGGCTTTCAAAAGTAAACACTCTGAAGGCTCTTTCTACTTCAGCCCAACTCAGAAGTTCTATAAAAGAATTACAATCATTAACTGAAAATGTCCTTATGGCTCAGTAGAAGATAAATAGAAGACTATTTAAGTATATTGTTCTTGGCAACTCTGCAGAAGCCAACAACAATTTCCTTAACGGTATTGGATCAAATTATGTGAGCTACATTTTACACTGCATTCAAAGTTGAATGCTTCCAAATTGCAAAATGATATGCCTAACCATTAATCCATCTTAAATGAAGTGCTTCCTACATCTGAATACCTCCTGGCTCATTAACTTTATATAAATGATGTTGATTTTAAAATACTGAGTAGACCTTACCAAACCAGTTAACAACTAGTTATTTTCAGTTCATGAAAAGGCTTCCATTATCATGAACTTTTTTATCTGTAGCTCCTCAAACCAAGCATCAAATATTTTTTTCTCTTCAGACAAAGTTTTATACATAATTTACACAGAAGCATGCAAGGTGCAAAGGCAATAATAAATCCTATTTATGGTTGTATGCATTGGTGCCCATGTAACAATGATAATCAAGAGAAGGACTGAATTTTAAGACAGGTAGTTCAGTGCCCAAATCACACAAAGAGTGTCTTCAGTTTGAAATGTTTTCTCTTCATGGCAGTTACACACCCAAGCATGTCAAACATCTTGAAAATGTTGGATATATCATCTCCTTCTCAAATGAATCACCTTTTTGATAAAAGTGAAGACATTGCTAGCTAAGTTAACAGTTGGGAGAGTTTGGCAGCATAGTATGGTCCAGTGAAGACCATCAAATTTGATACCCATCAACTGGAATGCTACAGCACTACAGAATACCTTAATAGCTCAGTGTCCAAAATGAACATACCAACAACTAGAAACAATGCAGCGAGTGTAAATTAATCCAACACAAGGGATTTCAGGACTGAATAGCTGGGAAAGTACCTTCAAATCCTGTGCCTTATACAATGGCATAAATGTAACCAAAGGGATTTGGATGTTTGTATTTCTTAGTAGACTAGAGTAAACTTTTGAAACTACCTAAGGGTATTTATGTAGTCTTTGGGATTGTTACACAGTGTACGTCATGGTGGCATGCACACTCCAAGAAAAGGTAGCTGCAGAAGTGATTATGGTTGAAGAAGTGAATGTATTCTTGGTTTGATAAAGGGACTATTACAGAAGCCATTTCATTATTAACACCAAAAGTTTATACAGAATACATTCTGAAAGCCATTTATTGTCCAATAAAATTCTTCTACCTAAGATACATGTGCTCCTCCACCAAAAGGGTGTTGGTAATTAACCATACAGTTTACATCAGCATCTCCTGAAATGCATTCTATGTCCTAGGATCAAAACAGCAATTTGTACTAGTATTTTTTTTCCTCAGATTTAGTAAGTGTTTGTATGTTTGTGAATATAAATAAATAAATGAGTTCTAACATACTTCCAGCTCTTAGTCATGCGATATTTAATACTCATATAGCCTTTCTCATTAACCGTGAAACCGAGGTCTAAAGTTAAGAACTTGTATAGTAGGCTAAGGTATAAGCAAGTATGTGAAAATGGGAAATTCAGCAAAGGTTTTAGGCAGCTGAAAAAACTTGTCCTGAAATTCCTGCTATTTAAGAGGATCATCAACCAGAAGAAAAAAAATTGGAGTTATATCAATGAAAAAGAAAATCACTTTACCACTGGTACAATAATGCATGAGCTCGTGAACTCTGGCCAAGCGTTTAGTGTTGTTTTCAGTTGAAGGAAGGGTGAAATGTATAAGTTCTGTAAGAGGCAGTTTATGCATCATTTCACGTTCAATCTTTTCTGGATTTAAGTTCTCCTGGACCTGGAACAAAAACCAAAGTACCACAGTTAAAGTAAACTTTTGCACCAGTGGATTTCTAAAAATTAGGTTTGAATAAAGAAGTCTTTTTATAGCAAAAGACATAAGCATGTGCTTAAGTCAGTTGGACATAAACTTAAATTTGAGCATGTGCTCACAGTGTGTTTTTGAATCATGGTGTCAGATGTTTTAGGCAGAAAAAATGAGATACGTAAGAGAGTAAGTGACAGCATAACAACAGACACTTGTTAGAAGATATTTGCCTGTGCTAGCTAAACTAAAAAATTCTGGAATACAGAAATATGTACTGATCTATTCAGACAGGCAGCAGGTACCTTCCACGTATCTTTCAGCTGGTCTGTGCTACTTCTCATAGCAATGAAGCCTGTAAACTCATTGATCAGTCTGTGACAGCAGCATCCCTATATATTTAAGGATTTGTCTTTTGAGACTTACTGGTATCTTTCAGCTTCGCTCTTTTTAGTATTACGCACTTGCGGTACCTTTTTCTTGGACCGTTATCTTCCAAATCTTTTTCCTCTATCCACTCCTCAAACATTGTGCTACATCCTGAATTTCCTCTTCAGCAAGTACCTCATATACATCAAGCGTATGCCTGCTAAGAGCATCTCTCTCGATGATTACTCAAGTCCTGCCTTCTGCTTGAATACCTCCAATGTGTCAAGCTCAATTTGTTACTGAATACTGTCTTAATCAATGGTTGTCAAAGTATTCCACAGACAATTTGTAATTCATGAAGCCACGCCAGGCAGACATACCTCAGCTGTGAAATCTAGAACTGTATTATCAGTTGTATTACCTTCAGAGTATTTTCAAAGTTTAACAGTAAAATTACACCTTGGCTTTGGAAAAAAATGAGAAATTCACAGTGTTCTTTTGGTTCAGAAAGTCTGGGAACTGTTACTTCGCAATAATCCAAACCCTGCAGTCTCTGAACCTTTCTGCCTCTGTTAGAATTTGGCAATGCCTTGGTTATACACTATGCTCCAACTATTTAGCCATCCCAAATACACTTCTTGTGTTCACTAACAATCTCTGTATCTTTTCTTACACTTCTCTACATCTTAGTATTTAATCTAAGTCTACATGCTAAATCACCATTATCAAGTTAGTAACTCATTTTCCAGTTTCATCAGTGTTTGACTACAGTAAATCAACTGAGTTCTGTAATATCTCTTATCTATGCCAAAGGCTAAACATTCTTATTAATAATGCAAACAGATCACTGAAATCAGTATCATGCTCTATGTTTGTGATGTGTGCTCTGTCAGTAGCAGTAACTCATTGCTGCTTCTTAAACACATTAGCATGTCTCAGTAGGCAAAATCTAAGCTATACTGTTCTGCTTTGTAAAAACACCACTCCATCCTTTCTAGTGCATTGAGTATTCACTGCCTGAGGACTTTTGAACTGTTTATATATGATAGGTAGCACTATACCTTCAGCAGGTGCAACCGTTGAGCCAGGGTATCATGGTAGTTAAATAAGAGAGGGTACTTGGGGGTGACAGTCTTTTTTTCACTGTATTTAGGAGAAAAGTAGTCATATAGATTCTGTTAAAAAAGAAAGATGTATTAAACTCCAATCATCAGATTTATTTTGTCATTTTAGGAAATGAACAAAAGACAACACAAACCTTTTTTTCACTCTCAGGAAGTGAAAGAGAAGGAAGGAGAGAGGCTATATGATCTGCAATGGTATGATGTAGCCCATCTGCCCGAGGCTCTGGTACCACCAGACTAGGTGGTGTAAGGCCTTCTTCACTTGCAATAACCTGGCAAACATGATATATGTTAGCTTTCATTACAGTGTGAATGCTGCTTAACTTCATGAAAACTACCAAGCAGATCTTGCTATAAGCTAAACATCCATAAATTTTGTTGGGAAACAAAACAGTGGGTTTTTTTCCACAAGTAGTAATAATGCAATTCTCCGTGTTAGTTCCTGCCCCAAACAAAGATTATGGAAAACAGAATTCAATGTTTTCTCCTATTATTTACTTTTGGAAGGATGAGAAGAAAAATACTTTCAACTTGAAATGTTAAGAATTGTTAATGAACACAGATAATTAAAAACTGATTGTGTATCAGGTGTTGGACCTTATTTTGGGTATTTTTGCCTGAGTCTATTTTCAGACTAAATTGTAAAAAGTAAAAAAAAAATAAGACTGTGCTGAAATTTTATTTCTAAAAGGAGGATTTCCAAATCATACTGTAGGTCTCTGCTAACTCATAGATTGTGTCTGAACTCAACAGAAGTCAGATCTGTCTAGCACTAGCATCGATACATGCCACTTTAATGTTAGGCTTGCCCTAAGACCTTTGTACTGAGTAAAACAGTAGAAGTTCAGTGTCAAAAAAATTGTTGCAGGACATGAAAACTTGTTATTGACTTAGCTAAGAAATTACAGCTTTTTCCTCATTTGATTATATTGGATCTGTAGTCTTGAAAAAATAATTTTGGAATAACACTGTATGTACAGGGTAAGTGCACAATATAGAAGAAAACCAAAGATGTCACTTCTGATTTGTGATTCCTTTGTAATGAACCTCCTTGGTCGGTGCCTCCATGCACAGTCTCTTATTTTAGGCTGAAACAGATGGATTTATTGATCTTTGATCAATTCATTATACCACGTCTAAGCTGAATTAGCCACACAAATTATAAAGAGCATATTCCCACCTGTTCCAACATGCAGTTCAGCATTAAGGGTACAGAAAAGTATTCCTCGGGAATCTGACTAAGCAAGTCATTGTAATACCTCATGTCCACAGAAGTAGCCAAAAAAGAAGCTTCTTCCTCTGTTGTAATAAGAGATAAAACATTAAGACCGATGTCTTCAGAAACGCCTATTTATATTACCAACCAGTTCAACCTTCAGACAGTTTTTCTTAAAAAAGACTAACAAAATACATTATCATAGAGCTCTTAAATCTGACTGTGACTAGGAACAGATAGAAAAAGTGTTTTTCTTAAGAACTTAGTTATCACCACTGCAGCTTCCAGAGACTTTCACAATGTATTCACCAAGAAACGACTCTCAACATCAAATCATATCTTCAGCTTACTGTGCAAATACTTCAAGGATTTGTGCTATCAGATGAATGAATTGTATGACAGAGTTAACAGCTACAGATGAGTGCTTTAATCCCTTAGACATACCCTGTGACAAAATTACTGTTGGCAGAATTTCTTCTGCTTGCCCTTTTTTCTTTGAAGCTGTAAGCTGTGATGCTGGTTGCACCTAAAGGAACAAAAAGAAAGATAAAAAACCCTCAGAAACAGTAGAACAAATGAGGATTGCACAAATACATGGGAAAAATTATTTTCATTTAGCTTTAGTTACTTACCCTAGACTAGATGCTAAACTTTTAAATGGCTGGTATTAGGGGAGGGAAATCCCACCTAACTCTGAATGGAACAAGACAGTAAGAATGTAGTTTTATGAATGTTTTAAATGAGCATTCTGTAGTACTGCTACAGATGGAGTAAGCCCATTTTTTCCCCTGCTACTAGTACATGTCCTAAAACGCCACTTTCTTCTGCCCACTTAAGCTTTTGCCTACCATGAACAAAATAAAGAAACTGATCTTGCATAGAACTAATAACTTTTTTTTTTATAGTTCACATATGTGCAAGAAGACATACTAGCTCTGTGCAGGTATATTGATTTTGCAGACACAAGATGTCATCAGAAGCTATTTAAGGGATTTTTACACCTGTGATACTTTATGCCTGTATGATCCTTCAAATTTTCCTTTTTCTGTTTCCCCAATGCTTGGCAACTTTTTTCCATTTTTGAGGTTTTAAATGCTGAAGGCAAAAATCCCAATTTCGTTCACAGAAAATTACACATGGAGTGATGGCCCAACGTGAATTTTTGTGTGCAGAATTAAAGACAGGCAATTCTAGCCTATACTAGTTATTCTCTACAAGACGAGAAGGATCCTTGCCTCAGTTGCAGATGGTTGTGCCGATTTGCTCCCTGATAATGCAGACACATTAATAAACTTGGTGTTTTCCAAGTAGTTACAATGCTGTCTTCTCCAGTCCAGGCAGTCATACATTAAACAAGCAATGTTCTCAAACAGTGCAGTGCCAAATGCAAGCTGTGACAGAAAATCAGATACAAAGGATGAAGTTTGCATACAAAAGTGTCATGTAACTTAGCCACTTGAGTTATTAGCTCTCTAACCAGCAGATCTACAACTGTTTAAAAATCTTCTTTAGAGCTCTGCTGAAGAGATAGAGAAGAATGTGAAATTACAATTACAACCTGATGAAAAGCTTCAGTGACAGATCATTTTTCTTTTATTTCAGCTATAATATATCTGCTCGCAGGATATTCACAAGTAGCAACAGTCCCCTATCAAATGTGATTATGGGGAAGATATACAAGATAAACTTATTTCCCAAAATAGGCATCATATTTTAAGATAAGATCAAGAGTGTAATGACAAGTAAAGTTATAAGTAGCAAGCCTACATGTTTCACCAATTGAGGCATTTTTAGTGAATGCCTTGGAAACCACTGTGGATTTAGCCAAACTCGGTTCTGATCCCTTCAAGATCAAGGGTACTTCCTAGCTCACCAGATTGTCTATATATAGGATTTAGTGTACTATAAATAAGTGTTAGGAAGATGTAGTCTGTCCTTTAACCCTAATAACATAGACCACAAATACAGTAGGTTAAATTATGGCATGTTGCTTTATTTTGCTTTAGCAGTTTATACTTTTTACTGCTGCCATTGTGGATTGAAAAATACTGGACCCTTTTACCTCACTATACTTGAGAACCTAGGCTGGAAAAATTTCTAATGGTTCACATTCTCTTGCAGTGCCCAGTAATAGTCCTGACTCAGCAGGCTATAATGAGTAGTAAGCCAGAGCCATGTTTTGGGTTGGACAAAAAGAAGAGGTACTGGGTATGCTAAAACAACATCTTGTCTCAAAAAGCATTCTTGCATTCATTTTAATTTGTTCTCGTGTGACTGTTCTGAGATACAGTAAGTAGACCTGCTGTTATGAGGACATAAATACAATTTTTGTGTTATTTGACATGGACATCTGACTCTCTAATGAGATCCAAATTGGGTCTATGTAAAGATGCTGAATAAATTTAATACCTCAAACTGTTTTAAAACTCTGCTGCTGTGGCCTGCAATATTAAGAAACTGCAAGTCACGTATTTTTATTCAAAGGACTCCTTGTGAATACAAGCTGAATAAACTTGTTGGATATGTAGGAAATGATTTTTGTTCAAGATTACAAATATACTAACTACTCTGGTTCTGCTTCATAGAAGACTAAGCTAAAATTCCTGTCATTTCTAAATCGGTCTTAAATCTTACAAATGCCAAAGCATGCCATGCATTGTGAAAGCAGAATCTACTGACCAGCATTTCTCTGTCAGACCAATCAGGGGGAAAGGCACTCTCCTTAACTAGGTGATGAAGTCTGGCAACATCAAAGAGACGTGATTCATGCTTTCCACTGTTCAGAACTGGCTCCAGGTATTTCCAAAATGTTTCCAGGTCTTTGATAGCTTCATCTTTCTTTCTTTTCTCTGCTTCTACAACTAAAATTTATAAGCATTAGATCAATCATCGTACAACGTCTCCCTTCTACACAAAGCACAAATCATATATTAGCCTTCTGTAAGAACTGTTAAAACATTCCCATCCTCAGAGTCTCAGCAAAAATCTGACAGCCAACTTCAGAATCAAAAAACTCCAGGAAGACAAAGCCTCAGTAAAACATGGTAGTTCTTTCAGAAAAAAAAAAAAAATAAAAACAAAACCACACCCCTACCTTCCCCCACCGAACTAAATTGCAGCAGTGAATGTTTGAAACCTAGGAAATATAAAAATCCCAGGTTGCACTTTTCCAAAGCTGCCAGCACATACCTTGGCAAATCTGTTCTTTAAGTATAGGGTAAGCAAGTCTTATTATCACAATTTTATTGGTGTGAAAATTGGGGCAAAAGGAGATTAAGGTACAGTATGACTGTGAAAAGTAAGCGTAGAAGTTGTATGGTTTCCATTTTTACTGCATAGTAATGATTGATTTTCAAAGATGCTCTAGCTACAGTGGAAAAAAAAAAAGTTCTCTCTTAATGCCAACCTCACAATCACACTCTGGAATCTAAGATCAAACATACTTTTTATAGCCTAATTTAAGAGATGTAAGGACACTAAACCTGAAGTGACTTGCTTTCATTTGGACTTATGGGTGCTCATCACTTCTAAAACCTAAGTATGAAGGCCAAATACCTCACTCGTGTAATTCCAGTGGCCTGACGGGTTTGAAACAACACAACTCAGTGAGGCTGTGGACTCTTAAAAAAATGCTGATTTCCTTAAGGTTTTCCAAGTTATATATGCCTCCTGTAGCAGCCGTCAGAAATGTTTACCAATTAACTTATAAAATGGTTTTATCATGATTCAGAAGATATGTCTCATCAAGTGACTCTAGAAACTGGGTAGAAGACCTGAGAATTCTCTGCCAAAAGATTCTGTAGGTATAAGACGTTCTTGTTAGTTCAAGGAGAGACTGAACAATAACTTAGAAAACAAACAATGGCAATACCATTTTTGCACTGGCAAACACAGCTGCTCACAGGTAGTATGCACAAACATAAGGCAGGGAGAGGGAGAAAAACACAGCAGGAACAGTTTTACTTGGATATAAAATAGTCTGCTTTCTACACAGATTTTGTTCTTATGACCAGATTACCTTCAGGTGAAAGTAAAGATTCTCCCTGAAGTTTAGTTTCTTCCAAGTATGTCTGCAACGGCTTATAATTCTCAGAAGAAATTCTAATTACACTTGAAATGTTAATCCCAAGCTCGGACATCACAGGCAACAGCTGAGGGTTGTGGAAATCCAAAATTATGAAGTAATGATCGGCACCATCATCTGGTTCATCATCTGTTCAAAACACAACAAAACCAGATTAGAGCAAGGACATTCAACAGCTTAACAAAATCCATTTTTTTCTTGACTATATAGGGATAATGCAAATTAAGGTCAGAGAAAAAAATTCTTTTATAACCTCATTGGGATAATTACATATAAGTTTCAAACTATTATGTGCATTAGACTGAAGTCTTCTGTAGCAAACCACCTAGAACTCAGCAGGAAGAATAGAAGTCAGAAGTAATAATTGTTTGGAGAAGCACCAGGAGAAAAACTGGAGAAGCTGATTATAACCAGAATGCTAGCTGCAGCAGCATTTCTGTAATTGCTTCTCGAGGAATTTAGTGTCAGGACATACTCACATGCTCTAATGGTAGTTTAATCTATCCTATTTCATCCTGCATAAAGCTGGCCAGGGAGCAGACACAGAGTAAGTTACTGCATCTTAGATAACAGATTACATGAGCTGTAATAATTCTGAAGGATTAGCTGCAGGTATGAGCTGACTCACTGCTGACTGCCCCCTGCCCAACAGTTTCATGTTTGCTAGATGGACTCCCTGTCAAAATCCTCATCACTTGGTAATACCAGCTCACACTAGTCCTTTCAGTTGGCAAAGGGCACATCCAAATTCATCCTAAAGTGCAGATGAGGAGTTTCATTGAGTGCCTGCTCTGTTTGGGCTTACTAATTCTGTAGAAATGTGCATAGTAACCTTTCAGTACCAAAGCAAAAGGTTAAGCATTATGTAAGTAAAAATGAGCCCTTTAGAAGCTTGACTCTAGTCTAAGTTAATTGCGCAGATTCCCTTTATGGCCCATGGAGAAATACAGGTATTCAGACAGGTATCAGGTGATTTAGTTCATCCAGCATGTTTATTTATCCTAAGACAACAGAAACTGCCTGCTGAAGCTCCTGTATTTCTCCATTGACTATGGACACATACAATTAATGCAGACTATCGTGCACTAACAAAACCCCCACAGTTTTATGTTCTATTTATCATTAAGATTCTTTCTTATGCCTACTAACACAACACACTTAAAAGTCCTTTAGCCGCTCCTCCGGTCACGGGACTCGTTCATCCAAGGGAGAAAAAAAGGGCAGAAAAAAAGGTAGCTTGGCACTGACATCTGCCTGGAGCAGCAGGTTGCAACATGGTTGTCTCTCCTCTTCTTGTAACATTAGGTAAACATGAAAGAACTTAGGAATTTGGAGAAAGACTGACTGAGGAAGCAGCCACCACAGTCCAGTACATACGTTACATAAAGCAAAATCAAAACCAGAAGAAAACTAGTCCATTATATCACTGCTAGTACTGAAACCGAACTACATATTTTGATGCCTCAGTTACTGCAGGAAGAAAAAGCATGAGCACGTACAATTACTGAGCATTAATGATTTCTAACAAAAAAGACAGATGTCTCTGCATAGTGACTTACAGGGATCCAAAAACTCCAATGCATATATGCTGAAGACTGCCTGCCATTCAACAGTTACAATTACAGTCATGCTAATTATGATGACAAGTTGATAATAATCAGTCAGTTCTAATAATCAGTGACTAGTTCATACTCAAATGATGAAAGACATCAATGCAAGTAATCTCAAGATTACTCAAAAGCAGAAATATTCAATTGCAGAAAGGTGATAATGTAATAGGGATGAATGATAAAATGACTGTTAGCTACCAGAAACAGATACAGATTGTCTTTGAGTTCAAGACATGGTCTTATATAAGCAATAGCTCAGACTACTGTTGAGTAGAAATTGTGGCATTTTTCTTTTTTGAGTTTTTTTTGCTTGATACAGCTATATTAAAACAAATATAAACAGAGGACGTTTAGATTGGATATCAGGAAAAATTTCTTCAGCAAAAGGGTTGCCAAGCACTGGAACAGGCTGCCCAGGGAAGTGGTTGAGTCACCATCCCTGGGGGTATTTAAAAGACGTGTAGATGTGGCACTTAGGGACATGGTTTAGTGGTGGACTTGGCAGTGTTAGGATAATGGTTGGACTTGATGATCTCAAAGGTCTTTTCCAACCTAAATGATTCTATGATTCTATTAAGAGTGGCCAAGAGTGCTGGAAAACATTTTCACTGTATCGACTTTAAGGATCATCCAAGGTTCTTCATGTCTTCTGCTCAGACTCTTGTAAAATACAGAATACACGTCAAGATTTTTGAAGTAAAGTACAACATTCTTGGTAGAAAAGTTGTGTAGATCTACATGTTCTTGACACTGAGAAATAGAGCTGGCACCACTTTGTCCCAAGACACAAACCAAAGCTTTAGCATCAGGTTCTTGAGAACCTTAATTGCCATGTTCTCGAGGAAAACCAGAAAATCCTGGCACAGTTGTTTCACCCCACTTAATGTTCATTTAGAATGGTCTCCAGAAGTTTTGGCAATACTTGACTCAATTTTCCCTTGGTATGCACTTCTAGGTGGAACTGTCAGGAAGAATGAAGAAACAATTACCTCTCTATAAAACAACAGTTATGTTTTTCCTGTAGCTGAGAGTGAAGGGTTTGAGGGGTGCTGTCCTTCTCAGGGCTATAGGTTCCTCCTCACTGTCTTCCTCAGCACGACTAAAGGAAGTAGCAAGGTCAGAACACCTTTTCCATTTTTAGGTAGTTCCTTATTGTCTTCAGACTGGAAATCAAGCCACTGAATACATTTTTTTTTGTATGAGTCACAATCAATTTGTGTATTATTAAGCCCAACTGTGTGGGTGGACAACGAATGAGGTGAATTGTTCAGAATGGCTTCAGCTCAGTACAGTCATGACTGTAAAATTAAGTACAGCAGAAGTGACCAAGCACAAAATACCTCAACAACGTCTCCTTTGAGGCAATCTGCAGCTATGGTTATTTTGTAAATATCTTTGGGACTAATGAGACAAATCCCAGTGAATAACGTCATAGTTTAACAGCAGTGCTAGTAGTTCATAATATAAAGGTACTAAGCATACTAAACAAGGATAGTTTTCATGGCTGTTACTTTCTGGAGACAATTTGTATTTTCCTTACTTTGTCTTCTCATTAACTGTGACTAACAAGGCAGCAAAGCATAGATATCTTACACAGGTACCTGATGTTTTCCACCCATCCCTCAGGGCAGTAGGGAGCAAAAATTTTGGAGCTGATAAAGTTGTTTCTATGGGGCCTAGTGGAAGCATATTAATACCCACTCAAAGCCACTCTGTACTGTACATTCTGTACCAATTCTAGTAAGATGGCATGAGTTCGCTACATGACTTCAGCTTGGGTTCTTACAGGCATGAATGTTTCTTTGAACACTTCTCCTTTCATGCCCTGAAAAACCTTAAAATCATCAAAAGAATGTTATAGCCAAGCCTTATCTGAAAAAATGAGGAGCTATGTACACATAGCTACCGTTCTGTTCTTGCGTACTTTCGTCAGATTCGTTAAGATGCAGACTTGCTCTAAACACCTGGACCGATGCTTTTTAGATGTTTAAAGAGTGCCATCGATCTCGAATGAGATGCAGACGAAGGTGTGATGAAAGAGAGAGGAAAGCCTGCAGCAGTTCAACTAGGGAATAGCAGGTACACATAATGCAACCAAAAATCAGCAAGTGCTTCTGCAGCAGCAGAGATCCTGTTTATGCTGATGCAGCTCAGACATACTATGGTCCAAATGAAATATAACTGTGATCTAATGAGGAGAGCTATGCATTTTCTCTGATATTTTTTTGTTCTAGTGAAATTTGTAACCATGGGTGCTATGTATTACGAATAAAGATTTTCTTGGCACTAGTTCGTGTATTATTCTTTACCTCGTATAGCTCATTTCTGCAGTAGGTTTCTTCAGGTCTCAGTTCCATCCAGATGTTTTTACAGCAAATGAAATCACATCTCCCTTTGTACAGAACCTGGCTTCATCCCCAGACAATGGTAGACAGCTCTGTTATACTTTATAAATACAAGGAGAAAGCCACCTTTGGATACTGACACAAATGCATTTAGTTATTCCAAAATCTTTCTGTAAGAAAGGTTTTCTGTAGGATTTGTTTAGCCACTTTCTTTTAGTCTTACACATGCTAAAACATTTTGATGTCAACATGCTACATATACCTCATCTGTATTTTATTTCTTAGACTGCACAATCTATCCTAATACTGAGCAGAACACAGTGCCCTCTTCAAATGCAAAGTGACAATGCTTTAATATTGCCAAATAGATCTTGACTTTTCAACATAGAACAAAACAAAGTACTCAGAAGCTAGGTTGCAAGATTTCTAGCAAGTTTATCAGGAGTATATCTACATTTTTTACATACCAATGTATTTGTCTTCCTCTTCTACTACTCCCCGTCGCTTCAATTGCGTGTCCTTTTTAACAGTGACTGGTGCTAGAGGACCTATGTCTGTCTTTTTTCCTTTTCTTTCTTTCTCAGCTGTCTTGGCACTAAGGAGGTTCTCCTTCTTGCCAGGAGGTTTAGTTTTCTCTTTCCCTCCATCTTTTTCCTTCTGTTGCTCTTCTTCTGCCTGACAAGATGAAAAAAACTAAGTTCTCATCATAGCCTTTCTGCAGAACAAAGGGCAGACTGCTGTAAAATATTAATGATTCAAATTTTTTATTTGCATACTTTTCCCTCTCAGCCAGTATAATGTTGATGTCTTGAACACTCTGCTTTATCCTTCTCAAGCACACCATTCAGTTTATTATAGTCTTACTAAATCATAGTGTTAAGACTTCACATTAAAAAGGAACTGTGAGAGGTAGGTAGACATTATACCTACAAAACTAATGAAATGCATTCTGGTAGAAAGACAAGTAAAGAATCACTGTGCTTTGGTTACTGCCACTACAGCACTTGCATCAGCCAGAAACCTTCCCTGGACTGAAGGGAAATAAGACAAAAATTCAATTTCTGTTAATTCTTTAGCACCTCTGTTAACACTCTTGAGTATGGTGTAAAATGGTACCAGCACTATTTTTCTTTGATGTAAATATCTGCCTACTATAAACCAGAACCAAGAGTCTTGTGCTCATTTCACACAGGATATTACTCAGCCATTCTCATTATTTTCAAACAAAACCACCTACATTAAGTTCTGCTCAGCAATTTAAGAGTAAAGAATGAAAAAAGATTTTGTAAGTATCCCAAAACCTCACGCTATAAATCCAGAAAGCTCAGAGCCAGTCTAAAATTAAAATAATCCAAAATATATTAAGGTAAAGCAAGGTGCTATAAGAGCAAGAAAGCCTCCACTTTATTTCTACCCAGCAGCAGTACTACGCATTAACTATGCAAGAATGACATTTAAGGATTGTAATGCTAAATTAAATATAATAAAATGACATTAACTTAACTTACTGTTACCATCCTGGTGGTGTCACTTTAAAGGCTATTAAAGCAATGAGAAAAGCTCTCCATGCAAATGAGATGGGGCAGTTGACTCTACACAGTTGCTTTCCCTAGATCCAGCTGGAAAAGCAGACTTTCCAGCTGCAGAAGTTGTGATTAGTTCAAATTCAAAACCAAAGCAGAAAATCTTTTCCTGCTTTTCCCTTCTTTACACATTCCCTTTCTGTAAAATTTAGGAATGCTTTCAAGAGATTCTTGAAACTATTTGTGCTGTGAAATGGGGGATTTGGATGCTTTCATTATTTTCTTTCAAATTTATCCCACTTTGGACATTTCAAACCAAAGTTTTTGATAGTACTACTTTGAATTCTAAGCCGATGAACACATCAAAACAGATGATACAATCATCAAACTACAAAGTTCACAATCAGCTTTATCTATTGCATCTGCATCATTTTATGTAATTAATCTCAAATAAGCAGAGACATTCCTGAACTTGCCAAGATTCCAACAAAGAACACTAGTTGACCTTAATACCTCAGGAAGTTAAAGCCTCTCCTTTCTAGGACTCTTTCCTTTTCCTCTCAATGTCATATTTCTCCTTCCATATAAGGTGCGGCTTTTTGCGGAGTTTCTAATCTTCCATTAGCTTTACATTCTGTAATTTTGTTATTTTAAGCTTCATATTACGGAATCTTACTACCTCAGACAGTTTTCTAATTGAGACACTTCGTCTCTTCTGCATACTAATTTGAACGCATACTCCTGTCAATTTATGACAAGCTTCTGCTCCTAATGAAGTACAGAAATTTCATTATGGTTTATTTTTGTTTATTCACTTGCTGTTTTTCTTCTGCCATTCCATTCTATTAACTGTCCATTGTTTTCTAGAATAGACACCAGTTATGTTGGCTTTCTGAGAACTGTAAAATCTGATTTCAACCCGCGAGTTGTTGGCAATGGAACGTGTACTGTACAACCTAGTTGGAAAGGATTAAAAATTTTATGGCAGACAATGTAGAGTTAGAATTCTAAATTAAAAGCCAGTTTCTGCCCACTCTGTACTGCAGAGCATCCTCATAGCCAGGAGCCCTCCAAATTCTTGACTCTGTTTTTGTCCTTCAACTGCTGCTCTCATGTTCGCCTGCCACGCTTTGATATAGATATAATCCAGAGGAGGTGACAACTTTGTCCAGATTGCTTGGCTAAAACAGACAAGAAATTCTAAGTTCCAGAGATTCTTCAGCCTTCAATACCAACTATCCTCAGATCCTCCAGGGAAATAAAATTATATTTACAGGAGTAATCCTGCCAAATCAAAGCTAAAGGCTCCCTTTTAATACTGAAGTGCCTAATTTTTAAACTTCAAATTCTTGTTTTACAGTTTACTTATCAGCATTGACTGATACCTAAGAGTAAAGCCATTTTTTCTCCATTCACTATATAAAAAACTGTTCTATAGCTTCACCCTCTCAATTTCTCTTCAGATTGAAAACATGTTGGGTTTTTTCCTCAGATTCTTCATCTATTTTTATCTTACATTATCATTTGCTAACCAATTTTGCAATTGACTTCTATCGGAACAGGACACAACTTTAATTTATCACCTAGCATTTCATGTTCTTGTACTTGTGTGCTATACTTCATCCACCAATTATTCCCACAAATAGAATTATTGCTAAAGAGACTTACAGACTTTTCAACTACACAAAATCCATGAAACCATTTTCTTCTTGCATCTTTTACATGCATAGACTGCTTAAGTCTCCATGTCATCACATTTTACATTATAGTTTTTGATCAATTAACAGGGTAAACTATTGCAGCAATTACATGACTTTCTGATAATGGTCTTCAGCTGCGTGAACGCTTGCTGGAAAAGGACTATAGCAAAGATCAATTGTTCAGTAAGCTGTTGAAATGTACATCTGACAACTTTTTTTTTTAAATTACAGAGGTTAAAAAGCAATTAAGAGGTCTGATCTGATTGCGATTCTGTGCAAGAATTGTGAAATTCCTCCTGGAACACCTAAGCAATCTGTCTGAGGCAATCTTGGAGCTAGTAGTGACCATCTTGAGAATATGTGGAAGCGAGTTTTGGGAACACTGGGAAATGTGGTACCCAATTCTGAGAAGCAGACTTCAAGATATGAACTATCTGGAAAGAGTTCAGAGGAAAGGAACAAGCATAATCAAAAACTAGAAACCATGACACATATTTGGGGTTGTTTAGTTAAATATGTAATAGATTTCTGCAGAATGGAGGTTAAGAACTGTTGTCCCCATACACAGTGAGAAGTGAAGCAGTAATGGGTTTAAATTAGAGCGGGGTTGGTAAGGTTAGAAACCTTTTCCAAATGGGTACATTGCAGAGATAGTTGAGCAGTAATACTGATTGCTGTAGAAAAGCGAAAGCACAGCAGTGGAAGGTTTTAAGAAGAGGTTCAACAAACATCTGCCAGGAATAGTTCATGTAAATTTTATCCTGCCATAGTGCTGGAGGATGGAAGAGGTAACTTCTCCAAATTTCCTCCAGAGAGGTGATTCATGATAGTAACTTCTTCATAGTGCTGCTCTGCATCTAACTTTGATACCTTTCAAGTAATAATCTCTCCTACCTTTACTTCAGCAGAGATACGCTCAGATGAAGCCAGTTCCTAGCTCTATTTTCTATTGGTCCTAAGACTCAGCTAAGACATTACTACTTCTCACTCTAGCAAAGAGTTCTGCCACAATATTTTTTTCTTTTTTTTCCCTTGTCTCGCCTGCATTTGAGTAATTGCAGGCTTCTTCCCCAAAACCTAATTAACTTAAAAGGATAAATGTCTATTTACATTTCTCTTCAGTAACAGATCTAGGAAGTTAAGCATGAGGAGAAAGCTGAATTTATGGAAACAGCACTAGAATAGACGTGTCTTCATAAAGTTAATTAAGCATCCTCCTCCATAAGGCATACTACAGTACCTTCTTTTCAGCTGCTCTTCTCTGAAGGTCCTTCTGTTTGCGACAAAGCAGTTGAAATTTCAACAGCTTTCCAGTTAGTGTTACAGGAATTTCTTCACCACGATCCAGAATGGCTTTGGCTACTTCTATCACCTGCAAAGACACCCCGCCCCCCCCCCAAATAACTGTTACTTGTATAGTTTTAATATTGCATTTGACACATATTTTGCATGCTGAAATGAGGAAGTGCTATCGCACATTGTACAATGTGTGGGTCAAAATGGCCACCCTTTCAGAAAAACAACACATCAGTAAGATGCATAGCTATTCTTTGGTTCCTAAGACCTCAAATGAAGTTATATCTGCTATAGTGTGAGATAAAACTAGAATGGAGAAAACTTCTATGATTTATGTAAAGGTCAACAGACACACAGTTCTCACAGTAAAATGTAATTTTTTTAGGTTTCAAACAAAGAAGCAACATTAAGCAACTACTTATTATAAAGTAATAAATTAAAAAGCATTTAACAGATAGCAAATCAAGGGGAGTAGTTTGGAGTAGTGTTTACAAAGTGACTAGTGTCTGAGGCACTAGCCCTGAATGAAAGATAAAAACTCCTTGAAGGGAATTTGAGAGGGTCTGTCTTGGTGAAAATATACCCCCTCCCTGTGTAATTCCGATTCTGTTGGTATGCAGCCTAATTGGGGTGAAATAAGGCTATTGAGTTTTCTTAGGGTGATGACAGCAGCGGGAACATACAGCTGCATTGTCCAGATGTGTGGCATTGACAGGCTGTTTTATGACTATGTTTTTTACAGCTTGTTTCCACTAAATTTCATACAACTCACTAACATCTGGGCCGTTTTCCTTGGAGCCTCATAACCACTTTATTTACTGCGAAAAAAATAAAATAACGTAAAAATACCATAAAAAGTTGTTATATGTTTCTTTTCACTTGTGTTGTCTCTGTAATAAAGTTCACCTATGTAGGAAGCGCTGTTGAGGAATAATATAACCATAATATTTTCCTACTTTTGTTTTTAAGCAACCATCAGCTTTATTTATAACCATGGGCTGAATTAGGTGTTACTCAAATGTTCTGACATGTTTCTCTTTTCCCCTCTTGGAGCAATTACAGTTGGGCACATATGGTGTCAATTTTGCTTGCTAACGTTCAGACAATGAAGGTGCACACTGCATGTCACTGAACTGTGTCTTGTCTAATGCAACCACCACCATTAGCTTTGAGCTTTCATAGCTTCTTGCCCAGCTTAGAAAGTTTCACCTCTCAAGTAAAACCTAGGTAAGCAAACATAGCCACTAAAAATGCTTCTCTGAATAAAACAAAGCCAAAATGGAATCCAGACTATTATATGCCGAATTATTGTTTTATACAAATGAAAGCAAGGTACAGAAAAAGAAATCTCTTAAAATTCAGATTTTTCTGAATCATATAACAGGGAGAAAAAACAACCAAAATATTTGCATTTATAAACCCTCCCAAAACAATCCTGCCCCTCCAACACTAATAAACCTAGTGATCTCCTTGACATACACATAGGAAAGCATGTCATGGTTAACATCAGTTCTGCTTTACATCTTTTGTATTCAGACTACTTACTGGTCACTATCTCAACAAGCCAACCATAGAAGGCTTCTGGAAAGACTCACACTGACTTCAGAGTCACAGCAGAAAAATCAAGGATATGTTAAGAACAGACTTAAAAATTCCCATAGACAGTAGGCACACTAGAAACTACTAGCTATTCCAACAAAAAATAGTCACCCAGAGCTAGCTAAGCAAATCTGTGCTCTGAAAGAAAGACGCTTTGGTAGAAATATCACAGTAATTTCCCTTGGAGAGAAAAATTCTCATATAGGTTTCTTTTGCAGAAGTGGTGTTAACAGCCTATGGAAAGGGATGCTTCCCAATTGCCTAATCTAGATGAGTTGCACATTTCTTGAAACACAATAGTGGGGAAACAGAGGGATTCTGGAAGGATTCCTGAAAACTGTATATATAGTAACCCGGCTGGATGGCAGTCACTGATTTATTGCTCATGGAAGAAGGAAGGAATGCTTCGACTCTTTTACAACCCATTCTTCCCGAGAATTTCAAAGCATTTTACCAGTCAAAAGCAATGCATCATGATTATTCCTATTCTGTAGATAGAGAATGCAGAAATTAAGAGACTTGTCCAAGGTCTATAGTGAGCTGGACAACTCTGAGTGGGTGGGAAGAACAAATTTTCTTATGTGAGGCATTACAGAAGTATAAACCAAACTATTTAACAGAAGTACATTCCATGACTGTGGAGAGAGGTCAGACGAATAAGACCAAGATAAAATGAGCACACTACATTTGGCAATACAAAGCAAGCAAATAGTTTTTCATACAGCAATGTAAAATCTGCTTTATACATAAGGAAATAAAAAACAATCCTTCATCACTGCTAGTTTAAAGACAGAACATAGACCAATCCATGTACAGTAGATAAAAGAAATTAGATTTATTACACTTATGCATGTTTATGTCATCTGTGGTCCTGTGAGTTATGCAGGCACCTGGCATAAACAGTTAAGAATCCACAGAGCCTCAATAAGAAAAAAAAGCTGAAGACAAAGACTTGGTAGGAGTATAGAAGGAATTTTTTTGGATACTATGAAGTGGATTCATTTCAGATCAGTTATACCTCATCCCACCAGTGATGACCTTTTTCTTATGTGAGAAACCACGGAAACTTGGATGGACCAACTCAGTTAGGTAGGGCCTCTTTTCCTTTAAAGGAAGAGGAAACTTAGCATTCCTCACACAGCAGGGGTCACATTTGCAAAGTGCAGAAAGGCTTCAGCAATGCAGTATTTGATCTCATATGGTGGCAGTCTGAACCATGCAGAGATCGAGCTGCCTGGTGCAAAGGGCATGTATTTCAAGCCAGTCAAATGCTGCATGAGTGCTTGTAAGTGACACTATACTACTGGAAGATGCCAGTGCCATTGAGGTAGGAGATGGGTCTTAAAAGTTAGGGAAATATTTAAAGCCAGAGTCTTTATGGTATCTTTCTTTGAAATGCCTCCTTTTCAATATACAGAATCATTGCGGCTGCTAAATCATAATCAGAAAAGCTTTCAAAGTGATAAATTGCTTTATCAACTTTCATAGCTTTCTCACTACTTGGAAGCAGTAGCATCACTTGCTGTGAACAGTGGTCAGCCCATTTCGTAGTGTAGTTCTCCCATATCCAGGGTGAGCTTTCTAAAGCCCTGTCTTCCCTCTTGTTCCTGAAACTGTGAGAAAACCAGGCCATCACATATACCTCAGACTTCCTAAAAGAAACATAAGGGTTCTGAGAGGAAGTCCTCAGTCATTCAAATCCCTTAGCAGCTGACACAGTTGAAGTCCATTTGAAGCAGGAGAGCCTCCAGTCAAGAGGCTAGATAGATTATACATACCAACCAAGTTATTATTTACTGTTCAAATTTTCCTGAGCAAGCTAAGAAAAGAAGGGGAAAAAAAAAAAAGCTAACTTCACTTATTACAATCTGCCATCAGTATCATGAATTCCTCACAAGCAGCTTTCAAGAAAGACTAGGGAACAAAAGCTGCATGTGTCATACTGACAAATTTCTTTTGTCCAAAGAAGACTTCTTTACACATACTGTTAAATATTTCTGAATCTGCTGATGTCATTTCATTGACTATAGCATACTACAATCAATCATTTTGAAAGAATACCAGGAAGGCACTGAGCTAACTGAAACAACTTCTTTCAGATCACACCTGCAGTGTGTTGAAATGCAATTTAGTCTCTACTATCAGACCATTCACCTAATTTCATTTTTCCTCTCAGAACCTCTTCCCAACTATGATGTCAAAAGATCACCTGCTTAATCATTATCCTTCACTGTTGAATTAATGACTCACAATTCAAACTGAGCTTAAGGACTCATATAAATCAGTAAATCAACTGCATATCTGAACAGAGCATCATTTACAGCTTATGTATCCACAAGTTAGACTGTAAAACTTAAGCTAAGCTAATGAATTAGATTCATTAATCAGTGAAGACTCTACCAACATGTATTCTAGAGAATTAAAAAAAACTGAAGTGGATTCGATGACTCCTTTTGCCCCCCTCAGGGTCCTTTTCAAACAAACCTACTAAAATAAGAACAGGACACTTTCACTATTGAGCAATACTGAGCAAATACATATGCTGTTCATGTACTAAATATCTACTTTTCTATTGTGAGAACATTTCTCAAAGCAGCAGCAATGGCTGCTTGTGCCCTAGAAAAACATGTTGTCACTCATACGAGCCAGTCTGGTTTTTGCCAAATCACAATACAGCTTGATCTGGTTAGCAGAAACCTAGTTAGAAATACCCCTTGTAAGAAGGTCTGTTCTTTAAACCTCTCTCTACAGAAAATGTGCAACCTGAGGGCATACCTTAACTGGTTTAATCTCAGCAATGCAGAATGAGAACTAAGACATGTGTACAGCATATGTGTCGTAGCGTTACAAGTACTTAAATAATGTTTTAAGGGAAATACAAACAGGTGAATAACCTAATTTAAGTAAAAATGAGAAAATACATTACATAAAAATTAGGATGACTTTTCACCTTGGCTTTATTAAAGAGCTCATACAAGAGCTAGGACTGATTGGGTTATAGCAACAACAGTTCAGTCTCATGGAATACATAAATCCCAAATGGAAGGCATATAATGTGATAACTCAAAGGACTACACAGGCCACTATTGATCACACAGTGGCATCAGATGCTCTGATGATGGCAAAGGCTGATGCAAAGACACGATGGTATGTCTTTACGCTGGGTAATATTTTATTCTTTTTTAGGTGGCATGGGTTTCCTATATTTGAAATAAAAATCCCTTTGCTGTTATCTGAGGCTTAGAACTATTTACCTCATCACACACACGCACCTCTAATGCCACTAGGATGACCTAAGTCATTAAGACATCTGTAGTGGACAGGCATACAGAACGTAGAACTAGGCAAGATCTTTGCTGTTCTGGAAAGGCAGCTGAACCCAGCTGAATGCCTTTTCTTTTGTCAGGATATTTTCTTTTGTTTCCATTTGGCCAAGTTATGAGAAGGCATTTGACAATGATATTCTACTCTCTTGGA